CACCTACAAGGGAAACATGATATCCTCGCATCGTCTTGGAAATCGGACTAGCACTCACACGGAGGGAGATCCGGGGTAGTACCCACGACCAAGGAATTATGATCGTCACCTTGGCCAGCCCAGGTCAAGTAGATGAATGAGAAGAGGCAGCACGGAGTCAAGAGGATGTTGTTTCTGGGCATCGGGAGTTAGATCTTAAATGACACGGGTGCTTACACCTGTTTATTTAAGCACCTCGAGGCTCGCTGTCTCATAGACCCGAAAATACCCAGTTTTATCCCTGTAGAATTCTTCGCGCCTATACTTGAGAAAGTCCTGCTTTCTCCGCGACATCTGTATGATGGTTTTATTATGTTTAGGCAGTTAGAGACTACGATGTCGGAGTAGGCGGCCGGTGACCGTTGATGCATGGATAGAAAGCCACATGGAACCAACTTTTGCTCGTGGCTTTCTACTACCAGTAGCTATCGTTCCCCTTTCACGTCGCTGGAACGGTCGCGTTCTCTATAGCCCTTCATTCTTTTATTCAAATTTCGGCTACAATGGCGGCCATCAGCTTACACGGATATTTATGCCATGGGACGAATCTTCGGAGGGAAGCACATGTTTCGACATCTGAAATATAGGAACCCTCCGTGAGAGAGCCAGTACCTGCCAAACCATGCGCATTCTTTTTGCTCTCGCCTGCTCTCCTTTGCAGCGTCGTGGAAGTTCTTGTAGTACGACTTTGACTGGGTCTTGATGCATACGGAATTCGTGGTCGTCGGAGGTACAAGCACCCTTTGTTATGCTATCGTATGCCGGCTCGTACTGACAAATGGAAACCGACTGTTAGGCGGTCCTGGTGGAAGCATGGTGGCCCGACAGATGAGCGAAGACCTTACGGTCAATGTGTTATTGCTCGAGGTTGGGGGTGAAAATGACCCTGCGGTGGATTCTGCTCTCGCTGTGCCGTTGTTCTACACGACGCTGACGCCAAAATATGGCTTACGATCGGAACTAGACGACCATTCCACAAGAAGTAGCTCAATGGCAGAAATCATCTGGGCAATTGGTTTGGGTGATTCGAGTGCCGTCAGTGAGTGCCATACTTAATCATACACAAAGTCGTCAAGTAATCCGATTTTTAGACTGCTTGGTATACAACCCGTGGCTCCGCAGACGACATCGACAAATGGGCCGAGCTTTTCGGGAGATCAAGGCTGGTCATGGGACAGTATGCCTGCCATACTTCAAGAAGGTATGGCTCCAACTCATCGTATGATTTCATACTAACACCTTTTTTAGGGTGAGAAATTCAATATCATTCCTCGCAATGGGCATAACACCACTGGCCAATACCTTCCTGCCTTCCATGGCACCGACGGCGTGATTGGTGTCAGTCTTCCGGGGATATCCATACCTCTTCGATGGACGCGTCTAATTGGTTATCGAGTCGCTCGCAAGGTCGCTACGTGGTACCGATAACCGCCTAGCCGGGCAACAGATGATATTACAAACCCTGGGCGCTTTCGTGGATGAGTGCTAATAGGGTAATAAATAGGGAAATGGAAGGTCGAGTAAGTGAGTGTGCGAGACATGGAAGGACACGAAAGGGTTAGGAAGAAAGAGAAGTTCACTACGCAGGAGCTGGCAAGAGTTCCCCATATCGCGTGGATATGAATTCCGGCGAACACATAGGTATAGGATGGGTTCAGACCTTGTCGATGGTGGACAGCGATCCAGTGCGAAGGCGCACTTGCTCCGCGCTGAGAATGAGGGTAGGGAGAACATAGACGTGCTATTGCATGCTCGAGTGTCTCGCGTAGTGCCTACTGTGGACGGCATGCTGGATTTGAGATCCGTGGAGGTACTGGATCCTGCTGATGGTATGCATGCATACGTATCAATGTTGACTAGCGTCTAATATCTTCTATCTAGGGTCACTCAAAAATCTCACTGCCCAAAAATGAGATAATTCTCTCTACTGGGTCCGTTATGACTCCGACCATCCTTCATTCTGGAATCGGGGACCCCGAACTGCTCGAACCTCTCAGTATAACCACCATCTCGTCGCTTCCATCTGTAGGAAAGAACCTTACGTGACCACATCGGAGTCAGCACAACCTTTATCGTGAACTCGACCGGACACATACGACACGTCCTCAGAAACGAGACTCTTTTGAACGAATAGATAGCGGAATGGACTGAGAACAAGACGGGGCTACTTACAGGACACGTCGGAGAACCATGCCGCTTGGCTTCGTCTCCCAGACAACTCGACTATGTTTGATAACTATTCCGATCCTTCGTCGGGTCCCTTGACCCGCACATTACGAGTTCCTATTCCAGGCATGGCATGTCCTACAAGTGCATATGCTCATTCTAATCGTTCTATAGAATGGATTATCGAGTGTCAGAGCAAGTGGAAGCTAAATCAACGTCCCAACGGCATGTGTATCGCCGGGCCTCACGAGGATCAGTCTCCATCAACTCCTCTGACCCCTTCTCTAAACCTCTAGTCGACCCCGCCCTCCTCACTGCCCAGTCGATATCCTCATCGTACTGGAACCCATCAAAGCTGCTCGACGATTCTTCAGTGGCCCCGCATGGGAGGGCTACATCCTCGGGTCGCTCAACAACAACGCGACCACTGACGAAGAGATTGAGGAGTTTTATCCGCGAAAATGTGGTATCATTCTTCCACCCAGTCAGTACGGCGAGCATGTCGCCAGTGGGTGCAGACTGGGGTTGTGGTGGATCCGGATTTAAAGGTTAAGGGCGCGAGTGGGCTGAAGGTTGTGGATGCGAGTGTGATTCCTAGGTTGCCGGCAGTGCATACGTCTGCTCCGGTGTATGCTGTGGCGGAGAGGGCGGCGGATATCATCAAGGCGGCCATATGGGTTGCAGGTTGAAGCCCCGTGAAAAGGTTGTTGCAGCACCATAGTGTTTCTTGAATTTGTCAGGCTGGATGCTACGTCGACATCCAAGGCTTATGATAGCTGAGCTATATGATCGTCGATAGTATTGGTGGAACTTTTGTCTGAGCAGCATTCGATGGCTGAGATGTTTCTTGTTGTGGCGCATGTGCTGGTGATTGGCGCTAATGCTTGTCCTGATTCCGATCAGGTCTCGTTGGCACTGGCAGTGAAACCTACAAACCACGCCACGGTTCGCCCGGTGGGGACAACTGAAAACCTGAGAGCACTTCTGAAGTGTACTCCCTGCTGTAGGCTTCGGCATCGTTACCGTCTTAGTTGCTGCAATCAAGCTCTTTAATGCTTGACTCCTCACCGCTGCTGGTGAGTAGTCACGGATGTTAACACGGCTACGCGTACGGACGTACCTGTAGATAGCGACTCGGGTGAGTGCTCATACAGAAATTCTCCTCGTTGCAGCATTGAAAAAGACAATGCAAGCCGGACGTTCTTGAAAGCCTCAGCTCCTTGGTCGTCATACGCTTTCTAAGCTTCAGCTACTACCAACGGCGGTCTCCGCGCGGCTCACGGACCACTCATCATGTCGCTGGGCGTGTATACGGAATGACAGCAGTCAAATTGGAATTTGCGCATACTTGCTATCTTCGTTCTTGGGTAATGAGAACATCATGAAGGCCACGCTGCTCGAGATAGGTATGATCTGAGGTCTTCGACTCCACCTTACAAGCCTTACTTATCATTTTGCTCTCCTGGAACTGGTTTCGTCATCCTTGGATTGTTGAACGTTGACGCCAAGTATCTGTCCAAAGAAAGTTCTATGGCGCCCCACTCAATAGGTGACGGCTGTCCAAGAACTTTAATCAAATCTGGCAGAAAGAACGTTCGCTACGACTCTGGGTTGATTCCTATTTCCTTTCGCTCATGCATTGCCTTCGGACGAGCCTCGATGTCCTCATCGATGATTGTTACAACGTACTTCTGAAGTGTTGTGCAAAGCATGAAGATCCAAAGGGAAGGATAAATGACGGAGGTTTAAATACTCTATAGGTGATCGAGAAATAAAGTAGGGAGTACGATAATCAGAAAGGATAACAGACAAAAAATCATAGTCTAGATCAAGTCCGAAGTCTCACCCCGACTTTCAGACGTTCATCATGAGCTCTATTATGTCCTTTCAATAACTACCACGGGCTCATCCGACTGCTCCCGTTGGGCCTCAATGTCTATTTCAAGGACTGTGCTCTGCCGGGTGGATTCCTGAAAGTCTGCCGTGGAAGGTTGCGAAGGTTGAGAAGATTGGGAAGCCATTTGGAAACGAAGGGTCGACACCGACGCACTTTCGTCATGTTCTTCGGTTGGCTGTGTGTGTCCTGCCGCTGCTCTGCCAATAAGAAGTGTGGGTGCAACTCCCTACACAAGGTGTTCGATAAATGATGAGGGAGTCCAAGATAGTGAACGCACTTTCGCAATAGCAGCTATGTTATCAAGGTAATACCATCCAAAATAATAGCGAATGAAGAAGGCCAACTCTAGGATCAGAGCTATCGAATAGAGAGCCGAGGATTCCACTAGCACTCCAATAAAACGGCGATAAACTCCCAGTTGGCCACCTGCTCCGCGCTTAACCCCTGTAACAGTCAAAATGCGGAAAATGATGAACAGCGTGCACCATAATGTCGTTGCCAGGACGAAGCATGTGTAGAGCATAGGGAATACTCCATATGTTGCATCGAAGTACTGATGATATACTTCAATGATTTTTGACACTAGACATCAAGTTGGATATATGAAAAGATTAGATGAAATCAGACACTTTACCAGTTGCAGAAATTAGGGAAAGGATCGGAAGCAGAACAATAAGCCAGCGCCGTCCCCAGACCATCCAACAGCACCAAATCTAGAGTCAAAAAGATGGTAAGCTGACATGGATAATCACCAGTGAAGTAGTACACACAATATATGAGTCTGCGAGAATGGTACTCATAGAGGCTGGAATACCTGCCTCCCAAATGATTGCTTGGTTCGCACCATTAAGCTTTGAGTATGCAGTCCAAAAACTTTGCCCGTTTTCAATGAATGCGGAGCATGTAAATGACCATTGGGCAGCAAAATTGATAGTAATCAGAGCATGGAGGAGAATAGTAATGACGACCAAGGCTCGTCGGATCTGCCAGTATTTGTTGATGACTGTGCCACTCATGTCAGCTTGGATGTCGTAGTATAGACGCTCCTGGCTCACATATATTCCACAATGTTACAGCAAGAATTCCGGTGTATATGCCTGTCATCAGTCAACACTTATATGACAAGGTGCTAAATGTCATTGCCCACCATGCAATAACGCCAAGAGAATTTGGGAGTTCAGGGTAGCGTCGAGTTCTTGAAGCATGAGAGCTTTGTTTTCATCTGTAAGATCTGCTGGAATATCTGCCTGAGTCGCCATGAGGAAAAGCGAGGGAAACGGGGTAGTGGGTTATGAGAATAAATACGTACCAACCCTACCATTATAAACAGTGCAGGTCATGGTCGTGCTCATTGGCTGCTGCAAAAATGACCATCAGTATCAAGTCAAACCCGGATCCTAACGTGTCGAACGTGTTCGGCAAATTATTGAGCTATTGATAGTTTCAACAGCTCGCAACAGAGACGCAACTCGAAGTGAGATATTCCTAAGAAAAACCCTGTATCGCAGGGAAAGTGGTGATGCAAACTGCAAGCTTCTCAGGTATTGGATCTGTTGAATCATGGAAGAAGTTGCATCGTGGAAGAGAATCAAAGAAACCATCCTGGCGAGACTTTAGCGCAGCTGTCAAATTGAGCTTGTTCTGCCATAGCATGAATCCTAATCAGATTTAGCTGCAAATTTGACAGGAAAAAAGGTTGGAAAGTTCCGATCGTGACATTGGCGGCTAGGAAGGAAAGGAATTGGAAAGGGTATCGACGTCTGCAAGTTATACCGCGATATGACTGCGCACGATCAGAGAGAGTTTACCCTGGAAATAGTACATCTATCAGAAAAGTGGGGAAGAGAATACAAAACGTACCCCATGAAGAACTCGATGAACCTGATCTCTTCCAGAGGCGATTTCCCTTTCGAGTACTCGGTACATCTCCGGAGGCAGGACGTTGCTATCCGAGTCTGAGTCGATCCATCTTTGTTTCCATTGTCGATTCTTCATTAGCCATCACTTGGACACTGAGATAGGCAAAGGCGGTGACAGGCCAATACTGAGAGCTGAGAGAATAGACTGGTGGGCCATAGAAACATCAATATCAAGGCTAATGTTGACATTGTGCGACAGCATTGGAGGGCAGTTAAACCAAATCACACAGAAGAGTGTCGGTCCTGGAACCCAGAAAAGATCGGAAAAGATGGCAAATGAGAGGAGATACGTGCTCGTTGTGTGATGAAGAAGACAGGGCTTCATAGTTGGGCTCATTGTTCCGGCGACCGTAAGTCATAGAAGGCAGCACATGTACTACCGCCAACATCCAGGAGGTGACGCTGCAGCTCATCATGCATGGACTCCTGTCGCTTCCAGGCGATACTAATAATACCAGATAACACGTCAAAATGGCGATTATGGTCCAAACCAATATTGGTACTTTACAAGACTCACCTATTATTTGTACGGTTACCTCCTTTGGTTTGTAGCCTCTATAATGATGGTTTCGTCGCGTTGTGTGATGCCTGGAGTGGTCGTTGACGCTAAAGTTCCGTCTACGCCCATTGAACGACTTGTCTTCATACGGATCCTTGAAGTCTGGTTAGAAGTTCCGTAGCGTCTCACTCCATAGATGACGTCTCTCCAGTTCTAGAATTTCCTAGCAAGACGAATTCGGTTTCATTGAGTATGCAAGCAAGTCAGCAAGTTGTCATCCTGACATGGCTGCAAGCCCAGGTCCCAAGTTTTCCACTTGGCAAGAACTTATGTAACGGGCTTCCCTTCGTTCGTCAAAAAATTGGGCTTTGCCCCTCCTTTCGCTTACGTGCCCCTTTCGTGTTTGGCTTGACCTTACTTTCTCTCAAATTTATGACCTCTCCTTTCTGCTCGCTTTGTGGCTATCGGACGATGGACCTCATATGATACTGATGTCCAGTTTCAAGCTGCGTACCGAGACTATCTACATAACTGGTTTACAGACAGCTAGTTCTAGATAGCATGTTCTGTATGCCCGATCCTGGTGACAGGGACAGCGCTATTGCGAAAGACTGATAGATCGATGACACAGGCGTGAAGGCCAATGAACTCGGGTGGATCGGTAAACTCATACGTATCACTCACGTCGATGTCCGAAAATTTACGCTCAATGGGACATCACCACTATCATCGAGGAGACCAACACCGATGGGCAGCTCAGGGTGCATAATGGTTGCAGGGCTCTCTTCCCTACGAAACCAGGACTCAGGTCAGGACGGGGAGAAGAGCAAGTCTGGAAAGTAACAGTGCGTTACACCTTTCTTTTTCGCGTAGCATTTTCTGATGCATTATTTAGATGGCACACTCTGCTGCAGGAGGTCCAGGGTTCAGTGCTGGCACTGCTACCGGTGGAGGCCTTGCTAGGACGATATCCTGATTTAGCAGAGAACAGATATCTATTCATGATGCATCGTTATCTATTGACTATGCCATATTCGCTTTTAACAAGGACTTGTCGTTGTACGAGAATCGATTCCATCTGGACGTAAGGAAATTGTTCCCTTGGTGCTCTTCTTTCATCCTCAACTGCGACATTGATCAAGCTTCAAACCTCCGATTCGAACTGAAGTACGTTTGAACGAAACCAAATCCTCATGAACGCGAGATTCGCGCCATCATCTTCCTCTCCCCCACAGTTGCCGAGACCTTCATCCCGACAGCAGGTTGCGACAAACGACTCGATCTCAACAGCGTACCTCCCTGCCATTTATTGCTGATGCTCGCTTCTAACCCCCTGTTCATCCTTGCCGTCCTCACGCCACCCCCACCTGACTGTGCAATCAACGCCATATGGAATGGATACGACATAAAGAAACGCTCCTCCCCGGTCAACCAACCGGATGCGAGTCTGTTGTACCGTCAGGGCGCATCATAGTCTCGTCACAATCATACGAAAGGTGTTTCCTTCCTTGCCCAGCCATCCTCGCGCACAGAGACGTTCCTCAAATGCGGCTAGTGAACACATCCGATTGCATGCATCCCCGAGATGACCACCAACCCATGACGCGCTCGGAGATGCTCCCCGCCAGTATTGTCCACCTAGGATGAAATCGTCGACTCGATAGATGGCGATGTCGCTAGGCGGAAACTGCAGCACACCTCTCGTGCTTGCGTTCCGTTCCTTCCTGGCATGATCCCGCAGCAGCACCAAAGCTCGTACAGAATAATTGTCCCTTTGTTCGCCGTGCAATTCCCCAAGGCTGACTCAAGATAACTCAAAAGCCTAACATGTCGAGGTGAAACTGTTGGTGGTAGCCTGTAGGCATCTGAACTCTGAAAGCAGACGCCGGTGATGACCACTATTCGCTTTTTCGACCACCGGTAAGTTTAATATTCTTCCTATAGCCGATCAGACATACCAACATTTCATTGTAGGACTCGGTCAGACCACAAGGATGTGACAATGGACCTCAAGCTCGTTCTTTATTTAAGACAGTATGCATAGTGACAGTTTCATTGTAATAATGTTGAATGTATTGATGGCGGAAGGTGTACAAGGGCACAATTGCATGATTAATCTACATAAATAATTGGACAAGAAAAGGGACTCGTAAGAGAACGAAAAAGCAAGCTTTGTGATACATAGAACATTCTTCACCCGCATTTCTCAGCTACAGCCGACACCGCAGGCGCATTCTCAGCACTCTCAGCCAGAGCGGGAGTTTGAGCTGAAGCCAGAGCACGAACTTCGTCAACGAACAAGACAGTACGCGTGACAGAGCGAATTTGGTTCGGCAGAGCGTGAGGAGGTTCTTCCTCGTAGCCGGGACACTTCCTTTCTAAGAATCGTATGGATGTGAAAAGCCCATCAAGATGCACCCCAAAAGGAGGATAGGCGCAACAGCCTAAAGCCAAAATTCCATTAGGATGGCATAACAAGAAGACGGAGGACGAAATCGTACCCCTGTAATCTCGGCTACTGGCTCGAGGTAGTAGTGCGTTCGCTCAGTACGAGCGATGAACATGACACAGATCAAGCTGACAAAGTAGAGAATGGCGGATTCGACGAAGAGCTCGACAGTGCGATGGTACAACAATCGCACGTCCTCTGAACTGCCTTTCTCCCGAGAGGACGTGGTGAGACGGTATGTAATGAGTATGGTGAACTAGAGAGCTGTGGTCATAGCGAAGGATGCGGAGATCGCGAGCCAAGGCATTTGAGCAAACTCAACATGTAATTCGCTTGAGTTTCGATGATTCTAAATACTAATCAAGATTTAGATGAGAAGGTAAGTATGGGAAGGCTTGGACGTACAGATGGTGCAGACCAGAAGAATGCTAGAGGGCACGACCGTCGCCCAGTGTTCGTGGCTCGATATGCTCCATACCGTACTGCTCCCATTACTCTCTCCAACTACACATGGCCTTCATTCGGCCAAGTCCTTGGTCTGTCGATACATTCTTCCGTGGAGTGTTGCGCCAGGTGGATGGGAATACGAACGTCCTGCCGCTGTAGAGTATTGTTTGAAGTACTCGTTCAAGTTGATGAGTGGAAGAACAAGGAGCTGACCGGCCGGGTGAATCCGAAACACGCGTGCCTCTAAAATTGGAAATCGCCGCCAAAGCAGAGATGCGTGTTGAAGAGCTATATGGCTACTTTATGGCGACTATTGCGCCAAAGGTTAAATTCGTACTATATAGAGATATGCATGTACTGTATAAGCAATCGAAAAATGGACGACACGAAGAAAGATAATCAAAAAAAAGTGCGACAAAAAACAGACGTGGCGCAGCCAGTCGATACCGCGTGACGGGGTGGGAGGGGAGGGCAGAGTGCATGCCCTCGACACGGTGGAGGTGATGGGTTTTCGTCGCGAATGACTTTCGATCAAACGCGGGGAGTGTGTGTCATGGATTATCCACGCTGAGCTCGTCGTCTCTCCCACCACCTTTCTCGCAGCTGCTCCGCTTGCTGGAAGCTGATACACAGTGTCGGGCCCGTATGGAACTTAGACGAATGTCGTGAGAGGTTGTTGGACCTAGGAAAATGCAACTGAGCAGGGCAGGAGTTGATGAGGGGTGAGCGATGTGGGTAACGGGAGCACAAAGATGCGGGAAGAGTTTTTTCTCTACCCCACATGCCGGCCCTTGCCTCTCCTCATGTGATGGCAGCGCCGTTCGCATCTCCTCTACTACACCTTGAACCCCATCGTCAACCGCATCACTCCCTCCGGATCCGCCCTCTCCCTCACAGCCTGCATCGTCCGCACGCCCTCCTCACCAAACATATCCGCCACCGGCATATCATTTTGGGTACCTCCACAGGCCGTTCCCTACCCCGAGCTTCCTTGCTGTATCGCGAAACACACCATCCTCCTCTTCTTCACCCATTCCAAGTAGAAAAGATGACGTGGGCGCGCAAGCTTGCGGGAGCGTGTGCGAGGGTGCTGGGGAGAAAGTTTTCGAGGGCGTAGCTGGTTATGAAGGGTTAGAGAGTGACGGAGGAGGGGGGAAGGGAGGCTCACAGTGAGACCATTGATGATGCATTGGGTGGTAGACTCGGAGTACTCAAGTGTGGCGATATTGTTGTATACGGTCCTAGCCAGGTTCGTGAACCGGTAGTAATCCCGCAAGTTAACAAACATACCGTTATCAATGGAAACAAACATCAAGTTGATGAAGTCGTTGAAGGAACGTGCTGGGTATGCTGAGGAAATTATCGAATATGCCGTTTGGGGGAATGGGGGCGTTGTAGAACATTCAAGTGGAGATAAAGACCTGTAATTACATTGAGAGCTCAATAGCGGGAGAGAATCTGGATGGCATACCTGACCGCTGGCGTATACTTTATGTATATGATGGGTATTGATACTGCGGGTTTGGGATTGGTCACTTCTGAACAGAACTTGACGTAGATGGATCCCTGGAGAAGCCAGTCAGACAGCTCTACTGATAGTTCGAGGGCAGGCGTACCCAAAAGGTATTCTGTGGGAACGTCCTTAGGGTAAACCGAGTGACGATACCGTAGTTGTTCCTGCTGCCCTTTTAAAATAATTAAAAAATGGATATCTAAGAGACGGGCACGTACCTGAAAAGAAAAAGCTCCGTATCAGTCTCTTCCTTCACAGTCACCACAGTCCCATTCGGCGCCACCAACTCGTACGCGAGCACATTATCAATAGGGAGCCCGTACTGGTCTCTCAGCCACAAACACCCTTCAGAAACGCGTTCAGTTAGGACTTTTGATCATCACAGGCATACGCACCACCACCGAGAGTGAACCGGTTTACTCTCTCCCCAAATACGTTCACACCCTGAGCACCCAGCACTGCATAGATGTTGTCTGAAATACTACCAGCACCAATCACTGTCGTCTGTGTTGCAGAGTCATACATGACCTCGTAGAAGCATATCATAGCGATCTGGACACCGGGTGCCGAGGAAAACCCTCGATCTATGGCGCGTCCGCTGCCTTTGATCTGCAGGGATTGGTTACTATTGGCCCGACTTGGCGTCTTCATCTCGCCTAGGATGTCCGGACGTCAGGCATGAACAAACGAGCAAAGGCAATACTCACGATGATGCCGACGTCGTCAGCAAACCTGGGTTCGACGGTGCATTTGGAGAATTGCGAGTTTGATAAGGCATCTTCCTTGTTGTCTGCGACGTATGATGGGAATCCGGGACAGTAGACGCGAACGAGACTGAACCATTCCAGGGGATTCCGACCGTTTTACGATAGGCCAGACAGCTCTACCTCGAGATTAGTAGTGCCCAATGCTCTTCGCTTGATGTGACCGTCCTTCCGATTAGGCTGGAAAGACAAATACTTAGTGGTCGGAAAATGGCGCGCCAAGGGAAATCAGATGGCAGAGTGGAACGCAGGGTGGGAGGTTGGGCATCTTGCACAAAAGCAAGAAACAAGTCGGGTTCGGCTAATCCCGACATCTCTTTTCTTTGTACCACAGCCACTTGCACTGATCGCGCATTACGCAGAGGCAGCGCGTTCAGCTAAGCGCAACCGTCTTTTATAGCTTAACTATACTTCCCCTACGATGCTACGCAAAATCTGACGCTTCCTCGAAGCGAGCTGTCCTCCATCGTGACACACGGCAAAATAAGTCTAAACTGGCAGGCGACGATGGAGAACACAATGCGGCCTAGGGTATGTGTACGTTCTCTGGAATTCCTGTACTTATGAATGCGTAGGAATATTATCGTTCCTTAGGACTGTCCTACAAGCTCATACATGAAGATCCACTGAAGCGAGGAGAGATTACGGAAGTTTAGATACTATAGTTGATCAAAAAATAAAGTAGAGAGTAGTATGATAGTAAAAAAAGGATAGCAAGCAAGAAAATTACAGTCTAAATTTAGTCTCCAGTTTCAACCCGACTTTCAGGTGTGAGCTCTATTGCAACCTTTCATCCACTACCACGAGCTCATCTGACCGCTCCTGTTGAGCTTCGATGTCCATTTCAAGGACTGCGCTCTGCGCGGTGGATTGTTGAAAGCTTGCCGTGGAAGGTCGCGAAGGTTGAGATGATTGCGAAGCCATTTGGAAACGAAGAGTCGACACCGTCGCACTTTCGTCATGCTCTTCGGTTGGGCGTGTGTGTCCTGCCGCTGCTCTGCCAACAAGGAGGGTGGGTGCAACTCCCTACACAACGTGTTCGATAAATGATGAGGGAGTCTGAGATAGTGAACGCACCTTTGCAATGCTAGCTACAGGATCAAGGTAATATGGTCCAAAATCATTGTGAATGTAGAAAGCCAAGAATAGGACCCGAGCTATCGAATGGAGAGCGGAGGATTCCACCAGCACTCCAATAAAACGGTAATAAACTCTCAGTCGACCGCCTGCTCCACGTCTAACCCCGGTAACAGTCGTAATGCGGAAAATGATGAACACGGTGCACCATAGCGTCGTTGTCAGGATGAAGGACAGGTAAAGCGTCAGGGATATTGAGTTCGATACACTGGAGTAATTATGATATATCTCAATGATTTTCGACACTAGACATAAAGTTGGATATATGAAAAGGGTAGATGAGATCGGAACACTTTACCAGTTGCAGAAATTAGGGAAAGGATTGGAAATAAAACAATAAGCCAGCACCGTCCCCAGACAGTCCAACAGCACCAAATCTAGAATTGAAAAGATGGTAAGCTGACATGGATAATCACCAGCAAAGTAGCACACACAGTATATGAGTCTGCGAGAATCGTACTCACCGAGGCTGTAATACCTGTCTCCAAATAGGCTGCTTGGTTCACACTGTTAATCTTCCGGTATACAGTCCAAAAACTTTGCCTGTTTTTGATGAATGTGGAGTATGTAATGACCAACTGGCAGCAACATCTACAGTAATCAGAGCATGGAGGAGAATGATAACGACAACCAAGGCTCGTCGCATTGGCCGACATTTATTGATGTCTGTGCCACTCGCATCAGCTTGGATGTCATAGTATAGATGCACCTGGCTCACATATACTCCATAGCATAACAGCAAGAATTCCAGTGTATATGCCTATCATCAGTCAACGCTTGCACATCAAAGCACTAAACATCGTTTTGCCCACCATGAAATAATGCGAGGAGAATTTTGGAGGTCAGCATAGCGTCAAGATTTTGAAACACCAAAGCTTTGTCTTCATCGGTAAGATCGGGTGGAATATCTGCCTGAATCACCATGAGGAAAAGTAAGAGAAATGGGTAGTCAGCTATGAGAATAACATGCACCACCCCTCTCATTTATAACAGTGAAGTTCATGGCCACACCCATTGGCTGCCATAAGGTAGTCTATTGTTTAACGCGGGGGGGTTGCCGTTCAAGGGCGTTATGACAAAGCCTTACATAATTTGATGGCAGTCAATTTTGAGTAACCGTGCACTTCCCTTCCTTCCGCTCGTATCTGGCATGCCAGGCGCATCCGTTTGTCCCTTCGCTCACTACCAGAGCCATTCATGGCATCTTCTTATCGTTGGCAACACCCTCATGGTCTGGAAATACTTCAAGGCATTGTCAAAAGGCTTGTTCCATCGTGGAAAGATGGACTCACTGACATCCAAGCACTGGCTGTTTCCCGGATTCTCGGTGGTGAAGACGTCCTGCTGTGCACCACAACTGGTAGTGGAAAATCAGCTTCATTTGCTATTCCGATTCTTGTACACCAAGAGCTCTCCCGAAATCCAACAGCCTATCCCAGATTTCGCTGTCGGAAACTTCCTGTAGGCATTGTGGTGACTCCGACGAATGGTTTAGCGGCAAATATTGTATGCATCCTGTCTCCTCTACCTATTAGTATCTCTTTAGTAATGATGATAGGTATCTGGACTGAAGGACTTCGGGATCAATGGCCTGGCTTATACCCATGAGACTCTGACAGAAACTCACAAAGCTGGACTAGTAGTCTGGCCAGGGTCCGGTTCAGTCCAGGTTCAGGCATATTTGCCTGAACCTCAAACCTGGACCTCGAGGTTCACCTGCTGCCCCCCTGAACCTCGAACCTGAACCTGAGGTGCAGGTCCAAAAGGTTCGGTCCAGGTTCGAACCGGGTTCAGCAAAAAAAATTTATTACGCACTGTAGACTGTGATATTCATACATGTGATACATGATTACTCTATGACCAAGTTTCCATCATCAAAGCATGGCCCAATTTCCATCTGTGCTTCGTTCTGTGCACTGATACATCCATCCCAATAAGCTTCCTTCATGGTGCCGAACTTCTCTGCATCAAAATTGTGACAGCGAGGGTCAGAGTCTGTGCGACCTGCATATGAAAACATGCATTCTGAAGGCACAGAAGATCCTGGAATGGCAAAATAAATCTCAGTTCTATGTATTAGATAGCAATCAGCAATTTAGCATGATATAACTTCTGAAAGCTTGACCTGAACTTTACCTGAATTTTTCGAGGTTCACGAGGTTCGGACCGGGTCCGAACCGGGTTCAGAATTTTCAAACAGGTTGAACCTCGAACCTGGATCCAGGTGGCTGTGCCGGACCTGAACCTGAACCAGACCTGGACCTGCAGGTTCGGTTTGGGTTCGGACCGGGTCCACACGGTCCTGAACCGGACCACGGCCAGACTATGGACTAGCCAACTGCTCAATACCAAAATTCTTCAAATCATCCCAGGTAATGAGGTGTGATTTCTTTGAGCGCTTGTTGGCTGAGGCTGCCAGCCGAACATGAAAATCAGGGTCAAGAGGATTGTTTTGAGTGAGTCGGCCAACCGCATTGTGAAGGTGGTTTCTGACAAGTTGGGTCGCCCAGCATGATAAGGCTGGTCGACAATGGCGAATATTAAAGGGATCATGAGTTCCAGAGTAGGACAGGTCACGTTCTGATCGATACTGGGACCGGAATGAAGGATTGCTATACCGATGATTGTACATCAGAGTTACGACATGGATTGGCTTTTGCGAGGTTTGCCCACTGAGAAAACAGGGTGCCATGCAACGGTGGAGATTTGAGTGGTTATCCTTGTCACTACGTCTAGGAAAGTCCTTTAAAAATTCACAAGCAAAGTGCCCAAATGAATCGTAAAGTCGATTGATAGCTTCAAGCACTTCTTCCATCTTTTCATTAGGGCTATGCTTTTCCGAGTGAATACGAGGTTGTGAATGTTGAAAGGGTGACTGTAGAGGTATGCTTGTTGAGGGAACGAACCCAGGAAGTCGGTACTTTTCTGCGATGGCAGGATCAATGGGCAGAGGTATGGTTGGAATAGGAAGGGGTGGAGCAGCTCGACGATAAGGTCGGGGTGCCGATTGAGGTGTAGGAAGTGAAGGTGCCGAGTATAGTGGGGCATTTTCGACACCATCGATGATATTTCTAAGGTATTTGGGTGATGAACGATTAAGTGGGGGCAGAATGACAGGAATGGGGGGGCGGGGGGCCTTTTCTAGACCATTTACGAGTGGTGGCAGACTCTTGAGGAGTCGTTTGATCCATCAATTAGGTATTCCGAGCTATTGACACATGAAAAAATAGTGTTGGAGGCTCAAAGCAGATACCGGACATGTCGTGGTGCAAGTAATTAACGAAATAGGTGTGATCACATGCCATCAGATTTGTAATAACTGAGTTGAATGGTGGATGGCCTATTTAAGCAACAGACTCCATACACTCACTACAACCTCACCCCCACCGTAGTCATGTATGTTGCGTCTGTCTATGAGAGACTAGCCATAAGGATGATTATCAGTATCCAAGTCGCACCAGGAGCCTTACATACAGACTGTGTTTGGAGATTTAATGAGCCGTTGTGTACATTGTGATAGTTTCAACAACTCGCAATAGAGACATGACTTGAAGTGCGATTTTTCCAGAGAAAGCCCCATATCGTAGGGAAAGTGGTGGTATGAACTGCAAGCCTCTCAAAGGTTTTGCTGAATTAGGATTAGGGAAACCGCGTCGAGGAAGAGAATCAAAATAACTAACGAAGTGAGATCACGGTGGGCCTAACAACTTGAGTTTGTCCTGTCATGTTGACAGGAATATAGGAAATTTTTGAGACCAGCTTTATTATCATTATGCTGGTGGATCCTGAATATTTCAGTCTCGGCAAAGGTTTTCAGGGGCACCAGTTTTTGCAAATCATATAGAGGTGAGAACCAGTAGCACGACGATATAAGACAAGACACAGTTTACCCTGGAAATGGTGCATCTTTTAAAAAAGCGGGGGGAAGCACGCACCCCATGGTGAGCTTGATGAAGTCCGATCTCTTGCAGCAGCAATCAGTACTTGGTAAATCTTCCAAGGCAGGGCATTGCGCAGCATGCCTGAGTTGCGCCATCCTTGTTTGCATCATCGGTTCTTCATCACTACCCATCACTTAGACACTGACATCGGCGAAGGTGGTGACGCAGTCCAATACTAAAAGCTGAGAGAACAGATTGGTGGGTCACAGGATCACACATCAAGACCGAAGACAATGTTAGCACATGGCGACCGAAGGCAGATGTTTGCTCATCAAACGATGAAGACGAGGCATCACAGATGGGCTTATTATTCTGGCAACCCTAATCCACGGAAAGTCGTACAAGTGCCACCAACATCCCAGAGGTGAGGCTTCGACTCACACTTATGCCGTTTCCCGATACACCAGGTAGATAACGCGTCAAAATGGTGAGTACGGTCCAGCTCAATGGCACTTTACAAAAATACTCACTTATCATTTCTCCCTCCTTGCGCACCCATCCATCAGTGAATCCGGGCAAAGAACCGGGTATTCGTAACCATAGGCAGTCGGGAGGGTGGTTGATAGATGCCGTCGAATGAATCCCCCAAAGTTGAGATGAAAGAAGCAAATCAAGAACGGTACCAATACCTCCCGTGTTCATTACGAGATGTCCTAGGCATTAATGACGACGTGTAAAACATTCCACGACAGGATGAATTTGGTTTTCATCATACTGCATTGCACCAAAACACATGGATGGAGAGATACACAAGCAACCAAGCTCCGTTCCTTGGTTCAAGTTGTCCAACATGGCTGTGTGCACTTCTTTCGGAAAAGGCCAGTGGCAGAAACCCAGCGGGATGAAGTTCTTATTCGATTTCCACGTCCTGCATCAGGCTCGTTAACTTCCTGCGACCTCAATGTCCGACTCTGAGGGATATTCCGAACTCTGTTTACAATAAAAAATAGCTGAAGGAGCCTACCAACAGGTGATGCACAAAAAAGCAGTAAGTCTTGGCAAGCAGAGATGTTCAAGGAATCATTTTGGCAAAACCTGGTAGACTTCCCGTCGCAAACATACAGCCCCCCCCCCACGGCTCACGACGATCTGTGGCCACTCCTGTGGACTGCCTTTCATGGCGAATGTAGGGTGAGGCAAGTCATGTAAGATCTGCGACGAAGGGTAATAGAGAAATAGAGGGGGACTCAGAGGAGAACAGATATCTCCGGCCTTTTGTCCATCCCTTACAGGACGTCCATTTCTTCTCCTTCCATCCTGTGCTCCTGACATTTCCATGGAAATGAAAGCGAAATCGCTCACTGGCGGGGGCGTTTGTCAGCCTTGGAGTGAGATGGGTATTAGAGGAGGCCCCTAGAAGCTCCCGCCAAACTTTGTCCGGATTTTGGTATATTTTAGGCCCCAAAATCGCAAAAACTTTGTCCGCAGTTAGCATATTTTGCGTCCAAATGAGTTCAAATGTCGTCAAACTTTGTCCGGATGTTAGCATATTTTGGAAATTTGGGATGCCATCGCCCTGACATCTGAACCAATATCAGTCCCGATTTGGATTTCTGACTCTGCATAATATTTTCCGGGAAAATTCCAACGAAAATTTGTAGTCATGTCGAAAACAGGTAAAATTGTGCTTCAGTTCTAGATGATGAAGTCTGCAGATTAGGCGGCTGGTTCTGTAGGGGCCCCCTGCCCGGGAGGCCCAAAAGCGACTTTATCCGGGTTAGCATACTTTGAGCCCCAAAAGTTGCATATTTGAGGACCGATTTTGGAATTTTTGCCGGACAAAGTTTAGCGGGAGCTTCTGGGGGCCTATTAGAGGCGATAATATGGCAGCTGGGTGAAGGGACTGGCTTATCGGTATGTCTCCTAGTATCGTGGAACGAGGTCCTTAAATTCTACGTCCGTATCATTCATTGACAAGTCTTGATAGTTCTGCGACTAGCAATGCTGTCTTTGCGCAAGAGGAAAGCCGCTAACAAGGGAGTCCCGGGGGATGTGCTAGTAAATGCCAAATGTCCATTACTGGTGCTACAAATCATTAGAGAGTGAACAAAAGGAAGGACATTGAACATACCTTCAATCTAGACTCAATTGAGGAAGGGGATCTTGTAGTATAGTTAGCCGTTCCTTGATATCTACGTCCTTTTTTAGGCTAACTACCTTTGTGCGACCTCAATGGCCGACTCTGACGAATATTCTGAATTTTGCTTGCATGGCTCAAGGAGACCTGGAAATTGGTGATACGCAAAAATATGTAGTATTTTGTGGGCTAGACAAGACGACATGATCAAGTGTATAACATCAAACGAGTCGAGTCTTTGTGCGCAGAGATGCCCAGAGTGTAGTCTGGCCGGGGTCCAGTTCGGTCCAGGTTCAGGCATATTTGCCTGAACCTCGAACCTGGACCTCGAGGTTCACCTGCCACCCCCCCGAACCTCGAACCCGAACCTGAGGTGCAGGTCCAAAAGGTTCAGTCCAGGTTCGGTCCGGGTTCGAACCGGGTTCAGCAAAAAAAATTTATTACGCACTGTAGACTGTGATATTCATACATGTGATACATGATTACTCTATGACCAAGTTTCCATCATCAAAGCATGGCCCAATTTCCATCTGTGCTTCGTTCTGTGCACTGATACGTCCATCCCAATAAGCTTCCTTCATGGTGCCGAACTTCTCTGCATCAAAATTGCGACAGCGAGGGTCAGAGTCTGTACGACCTGCATATGAAAACATGCATTCTGAAGGCACAGAAGATCCTGGAATGGCAAAATAAATCTCAGTTCTATGTATTAGATAGCAATCAGCAATTTAGCATGATATAACTTCTGAAAGCTTGACCTGAACTTTACCTGAATTTTTCGAGGTTCACGAGGTTCGGACCGGGTCCGAACCGGGTTCAGAATTTTCAAACAGGTCGAACCTCGAACCTGGACCCAGGTGGCTGTGCCGGACCTGAACCTGAACCGGACCTGGACCTGCAGGTTCGGTTCGGGTTCGGACCGGGTCCACACGGTCCTGAACCGGACCGCGGCCAGACTACCAGAGTGTCATTTTGATGACACTCTCGGTAGATTTCCCGTCGCAAACATACAAACCTCTGCCCTACGACTTTTTGTCACCACTCCTGCGGATCGCAGTTCATAGAGACTATGGAGGGCGTAGCATCGTAAATGAAGGGTGATATACTTCGTGCAGAGCAAAACTGGCTTGCGAAACGCGTTTCCGCAAGCAAGGAGATCTGGGTCATAGGGAAGGAGCCCCTGATGTTCCGGAGACAGGCTTGCCCTTCGTGGTTGAAGCGTCGGACATGATTCTGCACAACAGTGAAGAACAGTAAAACTGCAACGAAGGATAACGGAGAGAACGGGGACTCGGAGAGCGTCACTTTTGTCCATCGGGTCCTCCCATCCTGTGCTCCAAGCATCTCCAAGGGGACGAGCATGAAGTCACTTGCTGGCGGGAGCGTTCGTTAGCCATGGGGCGAGATGGATGTTAGAGGCGATAAAATGGTGGCTAAGGGAAGGGGCCGGCATGTCGATGTCTGCATTGTTGGGAAGCACGTACGTGCTACAAATTATTGAAGCGTGAAACAAATGGCAGAAACGTTGAACATACTTTCAATGTAGGTTCGACTGCTGTACCGAAGAAGAGAAAGAACATATATCCCTGAGGCCCAACGTGATGGTGGTAGAGAATGATTTTATTTACGCAAGTTTGAGATTTGACGCCTTGTGTAAACGGATCCAGCTTCCAACTAAAATATCGTTCTCATACAATCCTTGATCAACAGACTCAGAAGTTGCGCTCAAGTCTATCCTGGGGTCTGATCTTGTTGATCTTTCTATCGTGATGCAGTACCGCAAACTGTGTTGAATGCGGTGCTCCGATACTTGAGGTCTTAGCTCTGGCGCCCGCGGTACCTCACTTTTATACGCCACCGACATTGATCCTCATACAGCTACGATATTTATATCGTAAAACTCTTCAAGGAGTTCAAGGAAATTTTCCTAGTTTTGATGTTGATTATCTTTTCCAATCTTGACAGACTTCTCGTGTCCTCTATATAATAATGGGGGTTTGATATGTGTTATTCACATAAACTACTACTCCGTTGCTCTTGCTTTCCGCCATGATGGCTCAGGCAGATATTCCGTCAGACCTTACCGAAGATGACAAAGCTTACATGTTTCAATATCTCGACGCCACTCTGAACTCCGGAGTCTTCTTCGCGCTATTGTATGGTAGGCAATGACTTTCAGTGCCTTGACATGTAAGTGTTAGCTGACAACAGGTTTATACACTGGTATTCTTGCAATTACATTGTGGAATATATGTGAGCAAGGAGTATCTCCACTACGGCCTCTAGCTGAAGTAAATGCCAGTCATCAACAAATATTGGCCGATCCGACGAGCCATGGTCGCCGTTATCATGCTTCTCCATGCCCTGATTACTATCAATCTTGCTGCCAAGTGGTCGTCTATATGCTCTGCATTCATCGATAATGGGCAAAGTTTTTGGACCGTATTTTCAAACCTTGGTCGTGTGGCCCAGCCAGTCTCCTGGGAGATGGGTATCACAGGTTCCATAAGCACCATTCTCACAGATTTATATATGGTGTGTGACTCCGCTAGGGATTATCCACATCGGCCCACCATCATTTCAACTAGATTTGGTATTGCTGGATGGTTTGGGGAAGACGCTGGTCCGTTGTTCTGCTTCCAATATTTTTGCTAGTTTCCGCGATCGGTATGGTGTCTGGTCCCATCTAATCTTTTCATACTCATAACAGTACCCAACCTTTTATGCAGGATCCAAAATCATGGAAATATATTATGAATACTTCAATGTGTTCGGATCCATGGACGTATTCCTTGTGCTCTATATATCCTTCACCCTGGCGACGACATTGTCATGCACCTTGCTTATCATTTACCGCATCGTTACTGTCGCTGGCGTTAGGCGTGGAGCAGATGGCAGACTGAGAGTTTATCGCCGTTTCATTGAAGTTCTTGTCGAATCCTCAACTTTCTATTCAATATCTCTGATCTTATTTTTGGCTTTCTCCATCCGTGACAGTTGGGAACTGTACTACTTTGATGTCATAGCTGGTATCGCGAAGGTGTGTTCAAGATCTTAGGCTCCGTTATCATTCACCAAACAACTTGTGTAGGGAATTGCTCCAACGCTTCTCGTAGGACGCATCACGGCCGGACATCGGGCCCACCCAGACGATTCCTGGCAAGGAAGCGTGATCGCGTCAGGCTCGATTAGGTCTCAGTTGCAAGGTCGCAATCGGACGAGCTTCCAGCACGACCTGACGAGTTCAATGTTTGATGGTGACCTCGAGGCCCAGCGTGAGATTTCTGTCAGGGTGAGTTGATTGGCTTCTACCGCTTCTCTGTACCGAACTGAAACATTTTTGCTTTCTAGGAACCTTTTCCATCAAGCCGCTCTGTCTCTGTTGCGGTCAATCACGACCACCCAAACACTGACGTCTTTCTGGAGAGCATAACGTCCTCGCCCCATCTCGGGAACCACTCACTCCTTCAAGACAGTTTACCCCCTTCTGAAGATGCCATCTGTAATTCTACCATCGTTGACGGAACGGTAGTTCCGAGTCGAGGAAGATCTAGCCTCGAATGAACATAGTACGCAATATCCCATTTACTCTTTACCTACGACGGACTTGAAGCTTGAAGTCTCCAAACCCTTGTAACATCGCGTTGTTTTTGTTGTGTTTTAAATAAGTCATACAAATTATAACGGACTAATAAACATGAGGTCACCCTCTACACAACAACGTCGATCCTCAACGTCGATTATCCGCACGCATTACTGACAGAGTATACTCGTCGTCCGACCTATGAAAAACGTCTGTGTCACCTTTGCTTCGTTACGAAAGCAAACCTTTGTTGACACAGGACCGGCGGCTTCTGTGGGACAATGGCGTGGAAGGCGAAGGGTGTAGTATAGCTGTTCTTTAATTTGCACATCCTGTTTTTAGCGCGTTACTATCTTGCGACCTTGATTGCCGACTCAAACTTCGCTTGGAGGGACAGGGGCCTACAAACAGGTGATACGAGTCCGGACATGATAAGATGCAGTAGTATGTTGTAAGCATAGAGTCGACATGATCAAGTGTGTAACGAGTCGACAGATGAATTGACGTAATCCTCATGACTTCACATGCAGAGACGTCAAGAAAGGCACTGTCCCTTGCCCACGGCTCACAGCAATTTGTCCTGCCGTCCATAGGGACCACAGGAGGCGTGGCATGGCGAATGCAGAGTGAGGTACGACGAAAGGGAACGGAGCGACAAAGGGGAAACTTGGACTCGGCCATTTGTCCATCCCCTACACAACGTCCATTTACCTCCTGCTTCCTATCCGTCTCTGTAGAAGCGAACTCGAATGAGAGGTCACCCTCTGGCAGACAGTTTTAAGCCCTGGAGTGGGACGAAGTATTAGTTAGACTCGGAGGTAATGATCGAGCCTTCATTCTCATCTCTGAAGGACAGTGAGCATCATTTCTGTCAATGAAACAGCTGTATACGGACAGGATTGAAGTATCATCTGGCTTTGTGTCGGTAGGGACGCCCACCTCGTCGCGCTTGCCTGTTGCAGTTGCACGTAGGGGCTTTTGGCTGACCTCATCATCCTGCTAAACGTGGCCCCTATGTGCTGCTAATCGTTGCAGCGTGTACGAAAGAGAAAAGCGTCGAACAAGCCTTCAATATATGCCCGACTGTTATACCGACGAGGAATAAGAGGAGGCAGATACGCCAAGGAAATGATTAACTCATTATTTACGCGTGTTTGAAACTGAAATTCCCACTCCTGCAATCGGCTCGAGATAGTAGTGTGTCCACTCGGGGCGAGTGACGAGGACAGTGCAGAGTATCAAGCCGACAGAGTAGACTTAGTAAGAAATGGCGTATTAGCTTGACGGAAGTGATAAGGCGGTACGTGATGAGCACGGTACACCACAGGGCCATGATCATGGCGAAGGATGCATAGATCATGAGCCAAGACGTGTGAGCAAACTTGTCGTATAATTTTGCTCGGGTTTCCATTATTTTGAATACTTGTTGAAATACTGTTTAGATTGAGATTTGCATAAGTATGCGATAACTTGGACACACCAATTGTAGACCAGATAAATTGTGGGAGGGACATCTGTCACCGAGCGTTTGTGGGTTGAAATGCATACAACACATCGAGACATCCACGTACCGTACTTCTCCCACCACTCTCTCCAACTGCGCGCCTTCACTCTGCTAAGTCCGTGCTCTGCCGATACATTCTTCTGCGGAGTTTTGGGCCAGGTTGATTGGAAGTCGAACGTCCTACTGCCACCTGTGTCGTAGAATAAGATTCGAAGTTGACGAAATGGAAGAACAAGGAGTTGACCGGCCGGGTGAATCCGAAAACCGTGTGTACCCAAAATTGGAAATCACCACCAAAGGAGAGATGTGTGTTGAAGAGTTATATACATACTTTACGGCGACTAACGCGCCAAAGGTTAAAATGATATTATACAAAGATATGTATGTACTGTATAAGCAATCGAAAGATAGACGAGGCGAAGAAGGATACTCAAAAAAGTACGACAAAAACAGACGTGGCACAGCTAGTTGATACGCGTGACGGGGTGGGAGGGGAGGGCAGAGTGCACGCCCTCGAGACACGGTGTCGTGATGCATCGATTAGTGTTGGTCACGGATGTCTTTCGATCAAAGGAGGGGAGTGCGTGTCATGGCTAATCCACGCCGAGCTCGTCGTCTCTCCCACTACCTGCTTGAACCTCGCAGCTGCTCCGCTTGCTAGAAGTTGATATACAGTGGTCGGGCCTGTATGGAACCTAGACGAACACCATGAGAGGTCATTGGACCTAGGTAAATGCAGCTGAGCGGGGCAGGAATTGATGAGAGGTGGGCGATGTGAGTGACGGGAGCATAGAGATGCGAGAAGGGTTCCTTTCTCTACCCCACAAGCCGACCCTTGCCTCTCCGCATTTTCATCTATTCTTCACTCGAACGTGTCCGCTCATGTGTAGCGTGTAGCACAAGACGTGCTTGGTGTGCTTGGTGGAGAAATTTGCAAATCTGAGAGGTATTACAAGAAACGTCGAATAAGAGTGGAACAGTGGATCGTGGCAAGTCATAGAGTCAGCGTAAGCTATGAAACAGAGTTACATGCCTAACGCACGAAAAGATTGAGATTGGAAGAACTTACATCGCACCCCGACGTTGAGATCTAAACATAACGCAAGACGTTCCTCGGAAATCAAAGCAAAGATGAATAAGATCAAAAGTGAACATCTTAAAAAACCTACCAATCGACGGAATATGCTGGCGTAGCATCCAATAAACGACAGAGAGTGTGTGGCCAGATGCAGGATTTAGAGGGAGATACGAATGGAGACACGTGGACTTGACCGCGGGAGCACGGCCCTTTGACTCCGTACAATGCGTGGCATTTCCGTCGGACTCTCTTCTGCACGACCACGGTCCTTTTCCTGGTTCCATACTGTTCTCCTCGAGAATCTTAATCATCAGTAAACACGTTTTACATATCGTTCGGGGACGGCGCTCCAGTTTCGATCTAGGATGGTCCCACTACATGGCATAGTCGGCGGATGCTGTGACGCTGAAAGAAACAAATCAAGAGACATCAATCCGCGTCGTTGCTGGTGACTTCGGACGTCCCATTAGGTAGACTTGGTATCGATATCACTCTGGAGTGGACTGATAACCTGTCGCAGTACCGGTGAGTACGTTCTGGTTCTAATTGCGCTGCCACTGTGTTGCTGATATTCCTCATAGTTCGGAGGTCTATGAAAACCATCCAACTTTGTTTCGCTGCGGGATCTTTTACGTCTATGCCTTGCTTGATGGAGGTTTCCTGAGAGGATAGCTCGGGCAGTGTGCTCTGTGAGCGGAGGGAGGTTATGGTATGTCTGCTATTTCGTTGATACGTGCTATACTCATTACCGTCGCATTCAGATGACCTCGATGAAGAAATGTATATTCCTTTCGAAATTCGAATACTGAGCTAAACAGAATCGTCCCGGTGCGCTCTCCCACACGAAATACGACTCTTTCCCCTGACATTTGGCTGTGAATAGGCTTATATACTGTCCTATCACCTTGCGGGGCGTCTACAAGGCATTTCTACCCCCAATATCAGACCTGAAAGAACATTCGTAGACCCGACACAGTCCCCGCCTGTGGGACGCGCAATGACTGCTCTCATCACCTGTTCTATGACTTGATAACCACAGTCAGACTCGTGCTCTGGAAACCGGCAATGACCCAACGTTTTGGACAATGTATTCGAAGCTCGAAGTTTCCAAGGAAGCAGCGGTATAGTCAAGTTATGGACGGATGGATATCTTCGGTCTCAAAAGTACCGTCCTCGCAGACTTGACCAGGTCGTCTATTGGTCATCTTTGCCCAACTTGCTCTCATATTGAATCGAGATGCGACATCGCTGGACGGTATATGGTTCTGGGCTGTCCTTCCGATTTTCCTTCTATTTTCCGGAACACACCTGCCGCAGTTGAGACGTGCTGCGAAGTTCTCAGGCATGTCATTGGTTTCGGTGGTGCTTTAAGTGTCCGTCGTTGCAACGACGCTACTCCTCACTGCACTGCTTATCATAAAGCGCACTGTAAGCGTCGGACAGGCCAAGGGCGGATCCGAGAGTCGACTAAGGACGTACCGCTGTGTCACTGGATACTCCATCTGTTTGGTCGCATGTTTCTTCGCGATTTGTAGCGACTGGATAAACAAACGTCTTGACACTTAGTAAAATATACTAATTTTATGACATTAGCTTTTCTTGCGCTCTTGTCCTTGTTAAACGCACGATGCGGGATGACACCTGGAAGATCGTTTTCGTACTCGCTCTCGTATGGAGAGTAAGATCCGGGGGGATTGCGAGCGTCACCTTGGCCGATGGCGTTGAGGTCCAGGTGGCCAAGTGGATAACGACACTGCTGCGGTGCATCGGTATTTTGGGGGGGTCAAATACTTTAAAGGATTTGGTCCCAGATTTGGGAGGTAAATCCCTGGCACCAAAACCGGCACCAAAAACTGGCAGGTTTTGAATCGGTATTTGGTTTCAGTTTTGGCACCGGATTTGTATCTCAAATAGGAATTCAAAAACACGCAGTATTTTGGTGCGGATTTGGTCCGGTGGATTTGCACTCCGAAAACCTACGGATTTGGCTCAGGGATTTAGATCCCAAATCGAGAAGCGTAAATCTGATCCCAAAAACGAGTGTATTTCAAATGGTATTTTTAGAACAAATACAGATGTAAATACCATACCAAAAACGGGCACAAATACAAAGGGGATTTGTTCCAGGATTTGAGACCCAAATCCTGGATGATCCGCCAGCGACATGCCAGGTACCCGCTAGTGACACGCCAAGCACCTGCTGGTGCACTGCCGGTGACACGACTAGAGCCTGCCAGTGACATGACTGGAGCCTGCCAGTGACCCGCCAGACTCGACGCTACTCTGACTCAACTCCAAACTGCCACCACTCTCTACCATTCATGCCAGCTACCAAGATCTGACTTCCTATTGACGTGTCACCTTATTCTCTGTCACACTGTCTCTCTCTAACGTCAGTACCAGAAGATAATGACTCATGCTTCCTCTCAGCGACTTTCCCCATGACTCTCCTCTTGTATGCAGGGGGCTCGCTTCAGCTTTCGCTTACTCTTGAGTCACCACCCAGTCCTTGTGACTAATGCTCACAGCCCTGGACCAGCGACAAGGGCGATACCCCTGCAACCTGGAGTTAGTCTCGCCGAAGGGCGTCTTTGGTCTTTGCAGAAATACATGTCTGCAGAAAGACTAAGCGACCCGATGGGAATGGAATACCTCTGAAGATAGATATCAGGCATATATGTGCAGAGAATGGGATATCAACTCACGTAGTCTCAAATGTCTAGGAGCTACATCAATCGCAGTTACACTGGATAAGGGAGTGACAAAAGCTGATAATCCATGTTGTTGGTAGGGAAGCTGAACTGAAGTTGTCAAGGTTTGGCATTGAAGTGTTAGGGCAGAGGGTACAATCTAGAAACGGCGTCAGTGGGTTAAGCGAAGGTGACACATAAAAATAATGGCTCAAGATTGCATCAGAAAGAAACCCATGTGCTGTTGGAAATTCGACGTGGACGAAATAGTGCACAACGAATTAAATACCATTAGAGTCACTTGACCGGCTGATTAGTGATGCGTTGTTTGCCTCAGAAGGCTTCTGCATGCCCAAACCTGCTTCGTAGACGCATCCAGGAGGGATCTGATGGTGCTGGCGTCAGGGATCGAGTTTTAAAGATACGCAAGTGTCTTACATCAATTCGAGCCTCAGGCTTCATGAAGGGGCATGAATCAGAGGGCGAACGTATGTCACATCCTGGTCTATCTTTCTCGTATATTAGCTGATCGACAAGGGAACCAAACAATGAAGATATACAATTTCCGCAGGCTTTCAAGATAATTCCAGGACATGCTGGCAGCTAGCTAATAAATCTGAATGTACCAGCCACTTATCAGTCTGACTCGGATATACATAACGAAACCGACTTACAACCATTTCATAGTCATTGACATTGAAGGTCTCCTTCATTTCATTCGCCCCATAGACCCACGCCTTACTATGCACCAAGCTGTTTGCTAGCTCCACCGTAAAAATCATATTTCCTGCCGTGCTGAACCCTCTGATTGTGTAATGCTTGATTCCACCAAGGTTTCGCGACGAATGCCAACCCGTGCTGCCGAACATTAAGATGGAACTGTAAACTCTTGGCGACTTATGAAATTGTGAGGGTGTGTGTTCCTGCCCACCAGATGCGAACACCATGACGGCAAAGAGCTTCCTGGAGTATCGCTTTACCATGCTTGCTCTGAAGCTTTTGCTTTATCTTGCCTTCCTCGAAGAACGGCTGCCTACCGATCAACCGACATACGTAGAATGTGGGCTTTGGGATGAAGATATCTATAGTACAAAGATAAGAGACCCAAGAGATACGAGGAAATACACACAAATGATCGCAGAAAGTGCAAGTTCCGCGACTGACTTCACACCCTGAAGAACAGCACATCTTGAGCTCAGAAGAAGGATGGATACCTTCCACTCACCTTGACGGAAAACCAGGACGTCATTAAGAGAGAGAAGAAAATCAAGTAGACAGAGACGAAATATAAAGGGTAAGAGATGAGAGAAAGAGAACCAAGTAAACAAGGAACAGCGTGAGAAGAAGAGCTTGCATATGATTCAAACCACAAAAGTGTGCACACAATGGGGTATGATCCACAATGCCACTGCTTTGAGGATCAATGAAGACCTCCAGACTTTCAACAAGCCCAAAGGACTTGAGAGGACGCGTCCAGTCTAGGATTGCAGTCTCGATAATACTTTCCTGGCAGAAAGATGGTTTGCTGAGCTTGGATCTCATCTAGACTTTGAGTATGAGTTCAGAGACAATATACGGGTGGAAGTATATTCTAACATATGGTCACCTCCATCAGCGCATAGTTCTGAAGAGAGTAGGAACATCTTACCTAGGCAAATGGTTAAAGACAGCATTGTACCGGATGAATCTATCAGACGCCAGTCAGTGAGATCCAGAAAGCAGGTCGGCAAAAGATATCACAGTATTGTCATTGTTCTCAGCTTCTGCTCTCCAGTTTTCCCCCTTTTTTTACAGCATAAGATAACATCGTGGTGCCAGTCCTAAGGCCTGAGGCGTCACGCTGACTTTCCTTCAGCGGTGCAATGTCCAATAAATTCTACATTCCCTGTAATAATTGATAGATACTATAGGCATGCTAGTAATTTGGACAGTATCTCGGCCCATCAACATACGATGAATGCATTAACTGCAACTGTACCATCAATGAAGTTCTAAAATCATCTCACTGAGGTAGAGCATCTCTCACAATAGCGCAAGGACCCCTTTGTGCAGTAACTAAAACTGACCCCCACCTCCTGTAGACCTGAAAAATACATCAACAGGGGGAAATAGAGAGTTGGTTTGGTCACCTTTTCAGTCGGGGGAAAGATTTCGATCAAAAAAAATGTCAAATGTATGGCTTGTGACAGCTACGAAGTTGTAGAGGTCGCAAGCAGCGAACGATGGAACTCTCGCAGCACTGGGAGCCACCAACATGATAGGGTTACAGGATAGAATGATCTGATCATCAGCAGTCAGAAAGAAGCCATGAGTTAAAAGGGTAGTGTAGTCGAGTATGTGAAGAAACCCTGCCTGAATATACTGATGAGCGTGCTACTGTTGAGGGCCACATTGCCATGAAGATTGGAGAATGACTGTAAAACCTGAAGGGATATGTGCAAGAAGAATACGGCTTCGTGCGGAAGGAGGCTCTGAATACACGTGAGAAAGAGAGTGTGACTGTTGAAGAGAGTACTTCGCTGGGCGAGTCATCAGCGACTTCCAAATTAGGATTAACAAAGTCCTTGGACTCTGTGGTTCAAATGTTCGAATCCTGGTCATGACCACTCCCACCCCGGACGAGTGAAATGTCCTATATAAATCACATTCAGTAAAGGCAGAATGTGCGAGGACTGGAAATGCACTGACCATCACATTACGAAGCCATCACGGTTAGACTCATCCAGAATATACATCGGTTGCAGTCCTATACAAAATGTGCATACCTTAGCTCCAGTTGACCGGTGGAACTTAAGAGGGAGACGTACTTTGGAAATGCACACTTGCAGAGCAGCTGAAACTAATCCTGGCCTGCCGTCTTCCACCAGCACATACGGCGGCGGTACATAATACGAGAAAAGACCGTAAAAATGATGGAGCAACCAGAACAACCTGGATAGCAAACGCTGACGGTGAGCGACTACTGTCGAGAGAGAAGGGTACCGCACTGCAAACAGAATAAAATTAGCCTGAGGTTGCATTTTTTTTCTTCAGGAATAAATGTGACACATGACAGTACTGCATGGCCAGGGCTTTGTTGCTCCCTTGAGTATCAATTAGATGTCACCTTGATGACCTTCAATAGCATGACCTCGACAACGACAAAGGGAAGGGAGGGAAAGGACTTGAAGACTGACAAGATTGAAAAACTGTTAAGCACTAACTCTAATCTGAACCAAGGCTGATCTCTATCCTGTCACTCACGTTCGGTGATTCAGTGTTAGAGAGGTGTTTTGGCAGATTGCAAGAAGTTAGGCGTCACTTATAGCGAAAGCAGGGAGCTTGTAAGAGTTAGGAGTATATAACCTTAGCCGAAGCTGGGGTCTTAAGGCCACAGCATAGGCTAGTTTAAATACTGGTTAGACTCGTACTAAGAATAGTATCTACAAGGGCGCATGCAACAAGAAGTGTGTCTTTCAATGAATGAGGAGGGAGGACACTAAAAGAAGTGTACTCCCAATGAATGAGAGTAAAGAGCGCATATCACCTGCATCTGCGTGGGACTCCATCTGAATAGGCTGCATCCCGTAGACCGCCCTCGACTGGCGGTCGACTCTCATCCAACTACTAAGAAGCATGATGCCATCAGGAGAAGTGTGATGGCACATGCAGGTTGTGGGTCATCTGGGGGCGGCAGCTGTGAACTGGGGTGATGGCAACTGGGTAAACGGGTAAGGAGTGTGCTGGCGGAATATCATGGGTCCAGGAGATAAGATAGGCAGGTCCGGGGTTCCGAGGGATAAGGATAAGATAAGATAAGGAAAATAGGGATAAAGTCATAATAATACCCCCCGACTAAGACTGTCATCCCAACAGTCCTTAGACGTACTCACTCCCCGAGTCAAGGGAGTTAGTAGATTCCATATCTGATTCATAGTCCTTGTTTTGTTCCCAAGCAGACATGCCCCATTCTTCTAGGAGGAAACTGGGGTCAGTCTGAGTCGTTAGAGGAGACATGGAGCGCTCGTCTTCGAAGACATCTTCATCCATGTCCGATGAATAAAAGCCCTGCTCATTGAAGGATAATGGATCGGTATGATTCCTGTTCGAGACTGGAAAAAGTGTTGAGCTCTCAGTTGCTGAAGAGCCAGGAGATGATATGGTTATACATCCCCCTTCACTTTCCAAGTGTCGCAAATCGTGATCCTGTATGTGGTCTTCCTTGTTCTCGTACTGTTTGACGAGTTCTTCGGCGTGGGTGAGATTGCTCCTCTTGACCCAAGTAGCTTCCTCCACTGGATATCCCTTCCATTTGACCAAATATTCAGTTATGGTCCTCTGGCTGTTTCCTCAACCGATGACATGGTCCCGGTCCTGAAGTAGTTCCTCTACTTCGTATTCCTCTTCGCCTTCCACGAGTTCCAGCTCCGGTGGTGGCGGTTTTTCTTGGTTGAAAAACTCTGGGGGGACGTACGGAGTTAGGTATTGTTCATTGAACTTGTTGTGGATCTTCCATCCTGGCGGCAGTTTTAGCTTGTATGCGGAGGGCCCTTTTTTGGAAATTATTTCGAAGGGGCCGATGCGCTTGTCGCCTAGCTTTTTTGCCGGTCAGGGGAGGTGAAGGTTGGTTGAGTCCAACCAGACTTTATCTCCTGGTTGGTACTCCTGTGCAGGGCAAGTGTGTTTGTCGTAAGCCTTTCTCATAACTTCAGCGGCTTTATTCAGAGAGTCTTCCGCTTGCTTGCGTACTCTCTGGAGGCTTTCGATGAAGTCAGTTACCGATGGTGTTTCCAATGGCCTCACTGTGGTTGGGCGAATTTCCCCATCTCATCCGTAGACTACTTTGATGGGAGAAAAGCCCGTTGCAGAGTGTTGGCGATTGTTGTGAGTGAATGCTGCCCACTGCAGCCACTCGCTCCAGTCATCCTGTTTGTGGTTGACAAAAACTCGAAGGTATTTTTCGAGTTCTTGGTTAACCCGCTCCGTTTGTCCATCCATCTGAGGGTGGTAGGCCGTCGACGGGTTTCCCTGAATATTCATCATTGCGTATAGCTCGGTGATGAACTTTGAGACAAATTGTGGGCCTCAATCCGAGATGACTTTGGAGGGGGTGACTCCAAATCGACAAATAATTTCGTCGTGTAGGATTTTGGCCCACCCACTGGATGAGAGTTCTTTCATGCATGGAACTAGCACGATGTATTTCGAGAATCAGTCTACGACGACTAATACTGCATCATAGCCCTTGGATTCCGGAAACCCAGTAATCATGTCGACTGAGATATGTTCCCAGGGTCGGGATGGTATAGCGTTGGGATGTAGTGGAGCTGCTTTCTGCTGCGTGTCTGTTTTCGTCCTTTGACATGCCTCGCATCCTCAGACATAAGTTTCCATGTCCCTTCGCATTTTGGGCCACCAGTAGTCCCTTAAGATTAGTTCTCTGGTTTTTTCGATGCCCGGGTGTCCTGCGGAGACATGATCGTGGTGATGGGAGATAAGTTCTCCCCATAGGGTGTGGTCGCGGGGGACGTAGATACGTCCATCGTAGAATAGAAGGTGGTCCTTTTCAACAACCCCCTTCTCGTGGTTAAGGCTCGAAGCAATCCCTCAGTCCCACCGCTGGTGATCGCTTGTTGCTCTTTGAATTTTGCTGTGAATTTCCTCCTCCGCTGGCATTATCAAAGCACGGAAGAATTCTGGCTTCAAGAGGACAATATCGTCATTGTCCTTCTTGCCCTGGTCATGGTCGGCCTTCCTATTTGACGCTCCTGGTTGGTGATTGAGCATGAAATGGTATTCCGCTAATTCAGTAACCCACCGTGCTTGTCTGCGGTGTTGTGACTGCAGCCTATTTACGCATGTAATTTTGCAATCTAGAGTGTTTTACATGCATACTGAGAGATAGTGAGTGAGCAGACTAAAACTACACGTCGACACTAATGCTACGTGGTGCAATGATATGGAATATAACTTATGGCATAAGAAGCAACGGGATTCTAAACAGGACTTAGTCACAGCACTGTACCTGACGGGCATGCGTGATGAGAAGGCCAAACCCTATACCCAATGCCTTAGGCTCTAACTTACAAGCACACTCGTGGGAGCTAGATAAAACCTTGAAGATTGCACTGACACTGTGAACACTTAGTGCGCTCGCTAACTGTGATGCGCCGTACCTGAAAATCCGGGGAAATCCTTAAGTGAGATGACAGATATCACTGGCACGAGCTTGGGCAATGGGCTTCGGCTGAAGTCCACGAGCCCGTGTTCCATTGTTCTGAGTCCCATTGTTCGAAGACTCACTTGTTGCCGTGTCTACGAGAAGCCTCTGTGAATCCAAGAAAGAAGTCCTGAACGACATATGCCAGAACTGATAGTTCCGTGCGCCTAGACCTGTCGGTCGCTAGAGAACAAGCCCGCGGGTGTCGGGAGAGCACCTCTTGGCACGTGTTTAGTGAGCTCACTATAGAAATGAGACTAAAACTGGGAAGTCCAACTCAGATGCTCAGTAAGGCGGGGTGGCAACATGCTACGCATGTAGGAGTCGGGTACTGCGCGACATTTGTAATTCTAATTCCTCTGTAGTATAAGTAGACTGGTTACAGTAGGTAGAGGCCAAGTTTCGAGCCCCCGAGTTCCTGTGCACGCGTTGAAGGCGGTACTGTAACAAAGGATCAGTTTGTGACTTCGAGCTGTGCATAGAATTAGCGAGCTCACTCAGAGAAATACGAGATACCCTTTTGATAAGACTTTTGAGAACTTAGTCAGAGTGAATACAAATCAGTGACGCTGTTTCTGTTCTGTTAAGTGTGATAAGTCTGTTCGGAGAATGTGTTGAAGTGGAAATCTGAGATCTGTTCTGTTCTGTTCTGTTTCAGTCTGTTCCATGTCAGTTCTGTTCGAAGTTCCGTTTCTGAATCTGTTTTCCGAGCGCTTCTGAAGTGTTCTTGAGTCGAGATAACCTGCTGGAGTTAGTTGGAGAACCCCTACATACAGTTGTGTAGTGAGCGGGCTAAGTCAGTGCTTGCCTGTGGTGTTCTTTTAGCGAGCTCACTAATTTTTCGGCGTGTATTGCCTCTGTTTCTGTTGGGATCAGTGTCCCTTGTGTATTATAACTCAAATCTGCCTTGAAGGTTGCGTCGCGCCAGTGAACAACCTTCCTGTAAAAAGTTCCTAGACTTAGGAAGTCATTAGAGAAAGCTTAGTATGGAATACAAGACTGGTACGCTCATTTCAAATGAGATTGTGCCTGAGCACCCCCGGCACCTTGCCATTGCTGTATATGGATAAGGTCTTGTGATTTTTATTAATCAGACTTGTTATTTGCCATAAGCAGCTATAGACTCAAAATAAATCAATATATATAGATACTTAAATAATTTATTAAAATTCTAATCTGGGTTCACGAATAGCTGAAGTCAAGGAAGTAAATGAGATCCTATCTCAATCCTATCTTGGTCCATCATCCGGCTCCTCACTCATCAATTTAGGTATGATGCTTCTCTGACCTTAGAGCTTGAGGATGCAGTTAATGTCATATTTGCACTGAAAAGTCTATTAATTGGGAGATATCGCAATGGGATGATCACTGAAGCAGTTTGCTGACCAATATTGGTGCGAACCTGAAAAGGCCTGTATCGATGAAATCAGCACCACAGAAGACCAATTTGGCACAATTCTTGACACCATTATCCTTGCAAAGGTGATGGACATGGCCTGCATCTTTTCGCGTATCCCGACTCGTTCATACTATCCCAGCTTTCGTGAGTTAGTCATTTCTTGAATGTGAGAGCCTTCCTAATCCTGTCTGGTAGATTCGGGAGCCGCTGGAGCAATGGACCATGAAGTTGAATGAACTTTACACATCGCTTGGTGCATATAGGAACAGATCAATGCCAAGTCCATGGGCAACTAACCAACAAGAGAATGTCTATCGCGATATTTGCCTCCTGGTGAACAACCAGAAGGATGAGTCCATCAAAACCTACACCAATGCCCTTTGTATTTTGGATGGCATCGCTTTTCATATTCGCTCGGTGCTTTGCCTTGTAAGGGGATCCAACACTGTTTAAATCAACTTCTGATTGTTTCTTTAGCATGGCGAAAACTTTCATTCGTAAAGGTAAGATTCCCTTAGTATTCATGGTACTCGCTCTAACTGTAAGGTTTGAACACTCGGACCACCTCAGAACTACAATGATCTTTGAGGAGACTTTTGAACAAAATGTGCAACGTTGGAAGAAAGCTTTCATTGATGCCGTTGCGATATCACCACTCCTGCTCATTCTGTACCCAGGTTCCGGAGAACATATCTCCATCTCGCTTACTTTACAGGTAGGAGTTTTTTTTTTACCATCTCGCAAAGGTATCACTGATGTTTGCTTGCAGGTCGGAGGACGACTTGCATCTTACGGAAAACCGGAACTCCTCCAACGTATTGAGGAAATGCTCTAGCGTTGTATTATCGGTGTCGCGTGGGGCTGTTGGACAAGTGACACTGGATTGACAAACTTCTTGACTGAGGCTGCACCATTGATCCGAGGTGACTCTGAGGGAGCGGATACCTGGTTTTCTGATGCATTTGCTGCCCTTGTTCAGTGTAACCAAATCCTTGGCCTGGAGGTTCGTGTAGGATTGGCAAATGTTGCTTGGCTTAATAATAGTCGAAACTTCAAGGGAGCTCGCAAGGTGGGACCCCAGGCAGAACAACGCAGAGGACATTCATCATCACCGGCACAGAAACACTGAGTAAAACGGAAACCAAGGTCTTGCAGTGCCCCTCCTCAATTACTTCTTAATGCCTGCCACCTCCCAGCTTTTACACTTGGTTCGATTCCCAAGGTTCACCGCCTCTTGACATTGCAAGTGGAACAATGGGGCCACAGACACTTTCCAGCGCTCTGGCCCCATCCACCAAACACCGGCTTGAACATTAACGACCTCCCCACCATTGAGCTCAGTCAAATCGGTGAAGACGGTTCTTTGTTTGTTCGAGCAAACAAGTATCCCTTCTTGTATCACTGAAAGAGGCAATGATCTACATCTGTATCAGCTAGCTGAAAGCAACTAAAACAAGATCGCAACCTAGCTCGTTCTGGAACAATGGTTGAGTCTCCCTCCATTTTAGTGGGTGAAAGATACCATACATTCTATCATTTGCCATTGCTTAGTAACGTATGTCACCCATCCCTTTTTCGAAATCCTATAAATGATGTTTTTTAGGAGGTTCAAGATCGAGCGTTGCTGGATGGATGGCATAAGTGCTGTATTAATGCCTCAGTTTCACTTTCTGTAGCACCCGCTGTAGAGTCAGCACTGGTATATCGCCTGGATTTCGATTTGGCCATCAACAATCCTGTTCGCACTCTTGAACGTTTTCGTGACCACAACATACTAGTGGTTGGTGCAACGACATCTCAGATCACTTGGACGCTGTCATCACTTTCTAAGATCGGAAATCCTGATGCAAATCGAGATTTTCAAGGTTTGTGTTTTTTGTTTGCAACACGACAATATATTAACACAGTATACAGACCACCAAGGACAGGGCCATGACATGCGTCTGTCTTTACGTGAACTGCATGAAGAAAGCCAGGAAAATGAAGGTCTTATTTTGAGTGTGCTTCGTCTGCCCTGCCGCACCCAGGATTTGCATCCCTTACAACTGTAAGGAGCGAAAATGAACTCTTGTTTCAAAACTGACTTATTCGTAGAATTTTTTCCAGTGACATGGGAGTTTTCAAACAGATGTCTGTTAACACAGAGCGCATCTTTCAGACAGAGGGGTATCCTGCATCCGCCACCCACTTCTGGTATGTGGCAACGAAAAGTGCTATTGACCGCATCAAGCCCTATTGTCTTGGGGTTTGTACAGTTATCCAAGTTCATTGTGGCCGCCAGCTTTGGTACCTCTTTCAATGTCGCGTTAAAAAGCGTGACAAGTTGATACATGCATACCATGACTGGGATTCTGACTTCGTTAATGACCCAAAGCAATGGAAAGCAGAAGTTGTTGTCCTCGAGCCTGGTAATGTCCTGTACGTCCTTTCAATGATATGGTGTGATTACCGCTGATAACAAGAATAGTTTCATTCAACCAGGCACTCTTCATGCAGTAGTGACACTCGAAAATTCCATTGTCAGAGGACAACATTTTTACACTACTACAACTTTGTCAAAAACCGTTTCGGGTTGGGTTGATACTTATATACATGGGGTCGAAATCGAGAGAGTTCTGTACTTCCAACTGAGGGATCTCCTCTTTCGACTGATTTTGTACCTTGAAGATGGGCTGAACACTGATAGTAAGCCAATCAACTAATTGTTTTCTCTGATGCCTCATCAGGATGGTTTCAGGCATAGAAAATGATTCGTCCAAATTCAAGGTCAATACAGCTGAAGGGCTTCTCGACATAGTTGCACTCGGCAACTTGCTCCTCTCCCTTCCTGCCTTAGACATTGTCGCTATTTTCGATGCTCATAAACCAGATGCATATGGGCCACTCAGTGAGGGGAGACAGGCATATTTTGACATAATATATCGTCTTCAGGAGCAGTACTCTCTGATTCTCTTTCCCGACACACCACTTGCCCATGATGCATTCACCAAACCTTTGGATTCTCTGGTCTCACTTCACATTGCTGATTTTGCAAAGACTTCTGCCATTCATTTTGCATGGTCTTTGATACTATCTACAAGGAAAGCACAGGGTTGGCGGAAGGTGTACTTGAAAGCCTTCAAACAGTCAGTGGAGAGGACACTGGGCTTCTTTTTTGCTTGTACTGGAATGTTGGGAGACTGTAAATATGTGTCGATAGACCATTCCATCTTAGGCCCACTTTCTTCGTCTGGCCAAGGGCCCGTCCACTTGGTATGTGATTTCCCGGACAGCATTCATCATTTAACCCGAATCATATAGATGTGACTGTAGATGAATGGGCAGTGATGGTGGTGAAAGAAAGAGTTGCTGAAGTCATGCAATCTCCGGACTGATCAGTATAAATGTACTTTCCCATATATACTTCCCAAATATGTTATCAGTGGTTACGATTTTGGATGTGGCCTACCGTGAAAAATTTGCTCTCTGTATTCAAATGCGCTATTGCATATTCCTGGAACGATTGTTACATTGGACCCTGAAGTCCTTTTTTCAAGGACATGTACTGATGACAAGTTTATCAGAAGCTTCCAAATGTCCTTATTCCCATCGCACTCATGTGTCTGATCCTATCTGAACTTCAAGCCTTATAAAAGCTCTCATCAGGTGTGACATCAGCTCTCCCTCTGATATCATTGGTGACAGCCTTAACCCTGGGTCAACATCCTTTGCTGGGGCTGCCCCGTTGCAGGAAAACAAGGCAGGTGCAGAGGCTTCAATCCCTGTGGAACAGAAATTCCAATCCTATGTACTCTTTCCGGACGGCAGATGCGGCAGAGAGCATTCACTCCGAGTCAGTAATTTTTATACACTCCGGTTCTGACCTTGATATTTTCCTCAGTGTGGAGAATGAAGAAAGTATTCCCACCGACGAGGAGACGAGTGCTGCGTTCATGACCAACCATAATCGTCAAAACAAGTGATCACTAGTGCCGAATGGCAGGATCTGGTGCAGTATGACCTTGGTGTGTGAGGACGCACAGTAGCAGACGTGATATGGAAAAAGGGATGCAGAATGTGGGGGATTTTTGTACCTGGAACCCCTGTCACTCGATGGCATTTCTGACTAAGCAGGCCATCCAGCTCGATGACCATTTTTCAAATTCCTTCATCGAGACCAAAAAAGGAAATCGAGTTCAGACATTGGACTACACTAATTATGACGCGCGCTCTCCATTCGACTTGTTCTAGTCACTCCGTTCATTCCTATGCATATAATTGGCTCATTTCTTTATTTCTTTAAGGTTGTGTGATGATTTCCCTGCCTTTGAAGCATCTGAATTCTCCCGATGTGTCTCAGGCGGTGACTATCCACATCTCCTTCCTTCCAACACTGGTCAGTAGTGACTTTGCCGCTACCATTGACAAGGAAGCATCGGGCAGAGAGACCATTCAGTGTTTATAAGAGAGACATTAGGCTGACACAATAATTTGTCCATTCAGTGTGGATGTCACAAGAGCAATGTGGGGATTGAAGATGGCTGGATCTTGTCATCTCAAACCTCAGTTCTCCATTTTATGGTATTAATCAGCATTTTCGATGTGTAGTTGCCTTCATCCATATTGGAATCTTATAGTACACACCACAGGGCATGATTTTATGTGTCCTAGGTGAGAATAAAAGTGAAGAAAACACCCTGCCCAAATCAGGCATCGTCATCCAGCTAAAGTGACTCAAGCCCGGCTTTAGCTGGCTCCTATATGGGCTTGAACCTAGAATGAGTCTGAGCCAATACAGACTCAGGCTCGCCTTATTACTATCAATCAATGGTCACCATAATCCTGAAGTCTTTTTTAAGCAGATATCACCCCATGACAAGCGAATCCGACTCTAACGTCATTGCCATCTTCTATCTAAAATTGATCTGAAATACATGCCTGCACGCCGATCATTTCGGCCATTGCCTCCGGTGAAATAAAAGCCTCCGTCAGGTGCGACACCAGTCTTATCTTCCCCATCAAGATGCCATTGGATATCGTTGGTGACAGTCCCAACTTGGCGTCAAAGTCCTCTGCTAACGCTTCCCCGTTGCAGCAAGACGATCTGGGCATAAAGGCTCCAAGCCCTAGGGAAGGTGGTATTGAGAACCCGAGTCCCACAGCAGAAGCACAGACCTCCCAGTGAGTAATTTTTTCACCCCTGCGTTCGGAGCTTGATATTGCTATCAGTGTGGAGGATGAAGAGCCCACTCCCATACGTGAGGAGCATCATGCCCCGCGTCCATGGCCAATCATGGTCATTGAAACAACTGAAGACTTCATGGACTTAGAAGACTTGGATGTTCACCGTATCATCACTGCCACTGAAGGTAGAGTCTACCTCGGCATTGGCATTCGGTACGCCGGGGAAAACTAAAGTTTCAGCTCTGTTATATTGGCTTCTGTGTCTTCACATACAGTTTTGGATCGAATGCAGTTTTATGAGCTTTGTTTACTGGTCTGTTGTATTTTCAATACATTGGAAATGTTGCTCTTCTCTTTTCATAATTTGGTTAATTCCTTGTGTTATTTCTGCAACATGATATTACGACGTGAAGATGACTCAGATATCTAGCACTTTTTCATCATCATCCTTGTGTAGGAAGTGACATCGTGCACTTTATGGGAGGAAGGCAATAATTTGTATATAACAAGTAGCACAAGCAAGCAGCAAAGCTCGCTCCATTAGATTTGGTCACACCTTCAGCTGTCCGTTTTTGCATAATGATAGTCAATCTTCAAGGGCTCAAAAGATTGCCGACTGTCCTGACATTGATAAGGCTACTCGCTTCCCTCCCCTCTATTCACTCCCACATACTGCCTGTGCTGCAGTTTCCTACCACTCTCCCAATGTATTGCACTCGGATGCTAGGAAATGCCAGGACTATCGACGGCAGAGACCACGACTATTGCAGAACTGACATGTCAACATTGTATTTGTGTGGGAAATACAATCTGTGCTTTGCAGAGGGGGATTTAGCATATAGAGACCAATCAAAATGCGGCAGGTTTTGCGTCGGTCTTTATACTAGGATTATATCGGATTCACAACATCCTCCCCAAAAAGTAGCCTCATTTGCATACCAAGTTAGTCATATAGGTAACCCCTGTCGCTCGATGAGATTTATGACTAAGCAGGCCATCCAGCTCGATGACCTAATTTCAAATTCTATCATCGAGATCAAAACAGGCAATAGGTCTAGACTTCGGACTTTGCACCTTGGCTTCAAAACTGCCAGAAGCGTGTTTGCTGCTGCATATCTGGCGTGCAATGCACTCAGCAACCACTTCGCTGAGAAGACACACAGCCAGGGAAGCCCGGAGCCCAGCAAGTGATGAAGTTTTGTTAAACGCAATTGCTATTCTGCCCATAAATTCATCCTTTCTTTACGCCTGAAAACAGTCTCGACTGAAGATGAATCACCATCTCCTGATGTCGCTTCTGAGGACTTCGCTTTCAGTCCTGACACTCTTGAATCTGCAAATAAGCTGTCTTTTGAAGACTTTGTCTGACGCATCCTATCAAGCTCCTGCTTGACTTGGCCAAAATCACATCAGTGGAAACCATCTTACCATGTCACCAAATTATGCCGGCTTGAGTGCCACATAGCAGAGCTGTTTCAATTGTGAGAACTTGGACTCAAATTCAAGAAAATGAGCATCTATCTAGACCAGATTCAGATTCAGAGAAGGAGAACATGGTCTATTCATGGACGAGGTAGGCAGCATACACCAATTTCCTTGCCACCTTTTCTTATATGTCGTACCAGCAGATGACCTCATCATTCCGTTCCACAAGCACCAACCTCATCGTGAAATGCATCCCTGCCTGGACAGCCCCAAGTGCCTCTGGCCCGATTATAATACGATTTTCTCCTTTTTTTTGGAATGTATATTTTGAAACAGCAAGTGCAACCTGTAATGTAATTATGTACAGAGCCTGGAAGCTCATCCATGACAGGGGTGGAATCCAAGAATGTGCAGATATATTTTGAGTGCGGGTTAGCACTTGAGTCATATTGCAAGAGGCAAAAAACGCAGAAACTAGTATGATTGACAGTCATTGCTTTACTTTAGCCACAATAAACATAGTTTTAAAATTGTTAGAAGAGAAACATAAATTGGCCAAAGGCTGTCATGAAAAAACACACATCCTTAGCGCATACAAGTATTTCATACGAAGGCATTATAGAACGGACTTGCTTGGTGTGTACTCCGAGTGCATAGATTCATCCTCACCTGACATTGGTTCTGACTCGACGTCAGATTCCTGAAGCTCCTTGGGTGCATCCTTCTTTTTCTCTGTATCATCGTCCTTTGACCCACTGTCATCTCCGCCGTGGCCATCCTCTTTCTTTCCTAATTCATGGTCATCTCCATCACTATCATCTATATCATCTTCAACATCAGAGCAATCAAAATCGGTGGCTGTATTCCAGTCGAAATAGGCACCCGGATCTGTTGTGATTGTTAGATTAGCATATGTGTCAAATTCCCCACTTACCAAGGAGGTCAACTTTCTTGCGAACCAAAAATATGGGCCTAACATGCAAACGTGCCACCCGTCGCTTGTACGCATGGAGAAAGTTGGTGGTCAGCTCCATTTGCAAAAAGGTCTCCAACGAATTTGCAACATCTTGACGAAATGAATCAAAATTAAACATGAGGGATTCATGTTCTCCCTGAGCCTTGCGTACTCTTAAAGCCTTTCGAGCATAGAAGATCAAAGAACGCCCAAAGTGAGCTGTGGAGCTTCTAGCAAAATCCCCAATGTCGAGAAACCGAGCATAGACGCTTAATTTGTCGTCAACAAGGATGGTGGAATCGATGGAGGGCTCGACGGCATTATTTTCTGCAAGGAAAACTAAACCAAAATCCACCCGCAGATGCCGGATTATGGATATGTAGGCACCTACGGCCATGGTGATTGCAGGCCTCGTGGCGTCGGCGGAGTCTGGCAGGATGCAAGGAAGTAAGGCTGATCCGAATATACACAGATTTCCCAACGCAATGAGTTCGAGCAGTCCATCTCTTGTTATACTGGGAATGTCTGTGTCTTGAGCTAGTAGTATTGGTAAAAGCAAAGAATGCCGCTAGTTAGAACCGCTCACTTTCAGGACCTTTCTCACCAATAACGGTGTGAAAGTAACACATCATACGAAGGAGGAGCTGATGAAGCTCCGGGTGTACAACATTGATGATCCTGTACCCAAGCATACACGTATGAACCCAGCCCGAGATGGTTTTCGAAAGGGTAACGGTGGAATAGAAATGACCGCCCCTCACAATGCAGTTCTCGAGCATCAGAACAGCATGATGAGTATCTGGACGCATATAACTTCCTTCGTGTTAGCATGTTTCAACATATTGCAGCATGAACTTACAAGGCAGAGCCGGGTTCCAGCAAAACAACTTCGGCCTCCCATTCCCTAGGATCCGGAATAAATCCAGGTGCCCAATCACCCATATACTCGTCTATACAACTGTCTTGTCTTCGACTCCCACGACGCTGAAACACATACCACAACTTCCGCCCACAAAGAACTTCCACGAAGGTACCAACACCGTGACAATCAGAATGAATATAACTGATCGCTCCTTTCGTCGCGACTAACCAGAAATTTGTTGCTGAGATTGGATAACTGGCGTCGAAGATATCTTCTGGAAGGTCAGATGTCTGCTCAAAGGCTCTGATGTGGCTTGATACAATCCTAACATTCATGAGCCTCCAAAATGAAATGAGCTAAGGTTTTCAACGTACGATTGTAAAGGGTGTCCAGTTTCAGAAGTGCTGCAGGGCAGAGAGAGTGCGTTTAAAACATGTCCTTCATCTTCCAGGCCTTCCTCATATATTTCGCGTAAGGAAAGATTGACATGAAGATAGTCCTTTGTCTGGTCGGAGCTTCGCCTTTGATGATCTAGTGGAGCATAAGGATTAATATTTCACGGAAGGAGTGAGCCTAACCTTGGACCTCTCGGACAATATCGACATTGCCAACCTTAGATAGGTCGTTCAATGACCAGGTGAGAGGTGAAGTCTTTGTGCCATAAAGGAATATGTGGTAGTTACGGAAGGTCTCCAGGGTTGCCATAGGATTCTTCATTGCATTGGAAAAGCTCAGAGTCACGATCATTGATTCTTCCAAGCCCTTTCCTGTGTCGGGCTTGTACCGGGGACTACCTGTCTTGTCATTAACAATGCAATCATTCCAACCGCGAATGGTGATTCGATCGTCAAGCTCCTAATCAAAAGTGAATATCTAAGATTTCCGAGAGAGAGAGTGTACTAACATTGGACAGCAAGGGAAAAAAATCGCAAGAAATGTACTCCTTTCTCTTCGGATCCCAAAGGATTGGAGAAACAATATTTGCCCCAGAACGAGAGAGACCTCGATCGAGCTTGGTTTTTTTCAACAAAAGAGTGTCCCCAGTATTGCCGAAAGCTTCGGATTGCACCCTTTTCCGCCCTGCGACTGATGGAATAACCATAGTCATTCCTATGGATGGTGCCATCAACATTAACTTCCGCCAGTTTGAGTGGATGTCTTGCGTTAGTCTTCGTTCATGTAGGATTTTTTGTTGTCGAGATAATGGAAAGAAGTTTTGAGAGCTTTCCTTCCGAACGGGAGGAAGCTCTCCTATGATGATGTCCTGCACGGATATCGGATCAATATCTTGAACCGTCGGAAGGGGCATTATTGGTGCATCGCACCACGGGGGTGACAACTCGGGTCGTTCTCTGAAGTTCGGATAGTTTTCATGCCCCCATTTGTGTACTCGATAGGTTAAGATTCGATGAATTCTGGGTATTGATTCAGGCGTGAAGGGTGCAGCCTTAGATGGAGGGAACCGAGGGAGGCTTGATGACCTTCCTCGAGTCTCTAACTGTAACTGTGCGACTCTATGGGGAGAGCGGGATCTTGCTCTCTCTCCTCGTATTCGATCCGTCTTGCGACCCCCTCGCTTAATCCAGCCCTTCCTGCTTTTCCTGAGCCATTTGATCATCTCAGCACCCACCCTCGCACCCAAACCTGCGACATCATTCTGCCAGATAAAGTGAATAGCACGCTCGAACCACGTGTCCTCCCCATCAAATTCATCCCAAGGCGTGGCACCTGATTGCTTCTCCCTCAAAGGTTTCATATTGTTGATTAGTGGACTGATTGCTTCAAGGAAGTCCGTTAATCCAACCTCGCTCGTCCAAGAACCCCAAGCGATACCAATAATGCAACGCCAAAGGAGTTCCTCAACTTGTACGATGAGGTCTGGTTTTCCAATCGAAGACAGCCTTCCACCAACCTAAGAAAACATAAGCGATGAATATCTGAAAGTAATAAATGATTTCTCACTTGCAAAGCAAGGGACGTATTTAACGTCTGACCCATGCCTTGTCCCATAATAAGCAGAAGGGGAGAGATTGCCACGGCGTTTGCAAGGCTTTGCTTCCAACGAGGAAGGCTCTGCTTAAATTTCTTCAATGTCTCTTCGTTGCCCATAATCGTTTGGATGTCAGGGTGATTAAAATTCTCATTGATAAACCTTGAAATTGGTCAGGATATTTTCTTGACTATCGAAAGCTTCCTACCTTTGCCAACGTGTCGTTTGCTCAACTCCACTGTGCTGAAGAAAATTTTGTCAGAATACAATCAAATTGCTATGTAAAGAACAGAACCCACATAACAAAGTAACCGGATGTGAAAAGCCACTCCGTCCAACACAGACAGTACCTTCAGCCAATTTTTGGCTGACTCGTGCTTCCAATGATGTGCAAGAAGACAAACATCGCCGTGCAAGATCTCCTGCATAAAGGAGGCCCCCAGGGCCAAGGGAGGAAGTGGCGTCGATGCATGTTCCTTATACATGCAAAGGGAAGTCTGAATTTCGGCTAGTTTCTGAGGCCATGATTCTAGTCGCCGTAAAAACTGATGACGAGGGTCAGTCAGAAAGCATTATAGGGCATTATTAGATATAATATACCCCCATTTGATGCTCGTCAAGACTTATTGACTTCTGGAAGCTTGGATAGTAAGACCTTGTAGGCAGGCGAAGAAAACCAGCTGCGATATCTACTGCTCTCACGAGTATAAGGGTCTCAAGGTGGCCCGCAAACTTGGAAGCTGTTGTGACCACCGCCGATATTGTCAATGTGATTTTTCGGTTTACCCCCTTTGACCTTCTCCCAGCCTTCATCCGCAATTGACTTTAGGGACCGGGCCATGGCCATCCCAAACTGCAAGAACTTTAACTCTATATCACTTTCCATTGATCGCAGATGAAACCATTGTTCAGGATCCAAAGGCATCTCAAGGAATGCTCAGCAAATGATCGGAACAGACCAGACCAATAAGGACCGTTTCACAGCAGTGTATCCTGTTGCTTCATAAATAAGAAATTAAGCACAGGCCAATCCTCCGATTTTAAGAACAGTTAGTGTATACCTGCAGGGCTTTCAACTGGAGAAGAATGGTCAATCGACATGTTGGTGCGGAAGAGAAAAGTGATAGTGTGGGAAATCAGGTCCAATTAAAGCCGTTCGGCAATCGCCATGACTACGTTTTTCCAGGAGATCATGTCCAAATTGAGCAATTTGGCCTCGGGCAATGTACGCTTCAGTGAAGACCCAAGGAGACACAAAACGTTGCATAAAGACGAAAAAAAAACTACGAAAGGAAATCACTGCACAAGGTATGTAGCAGATTGTTTCTTTGAGTTATTTTTGCCATAAAGAAATTTCAAAAGCCTACTCATAGCGCTTATAGAGCCATGGTCATATTCATATCGAAGAGATACTCGTATATATTGCTACATAGTGCAGGGCGTATTATGAAGAATGTAAAGAGGGGTGCATCATAGAAACACTGTGACTATATACCTTCGGGGACAGTAGTGAAATTTCCTAGGAAATGGTGCGAGCACTTACACACCTTGACTCTATGCATTGCACACCAGATATGCAGCAGCAAACACACTTCTGGCAGTTTTGAAGCCAAGGTGCAACTCCGAAGTCTAGACCTATTGGCTGTTTTGATCTCGATGATAGAATTTGAAATTAGGTCATCGAGCTGGATGGCCTGCTTAGTCATAAATCTCATCGAGTGACTGGGTTACAGATAAGAACAATCCCGCTATTTCGCAAGGTAAGGATTTGACTAGATTTTTGGGTGAAAACTGTGTTTGTCCTGAAGAACACATAGACTTTCGAGAGGGAATTGCATGCGATGGATCCCCAATGTTGTAGGAGTCTGAAAGATGCCTCCAGGGTACGTGATCCCCACGAAGTAGGAGAGAAGAACGAAGTCATATTGTCGAAGCCGACGAAGAGGGGAAGCAAAACATCTGGTATTGAGATGGGGGGTAGGACCAGTGAGGAGGACGGATAAGTGCCTCTTGAGGGTCCATCGGCGGGATTGACAGCGCTGGTGATATATCTTGTGTTGACGTGGAGGTCGTTGGAGGTAGGGGAACTGCGCATTCATCAGAAAATGTTGTTAACGTCTGTATTGCGGTGGTGGCCATTCCACCAGCCTTCGACAATGGATTTGCGGTCTTCATGGAGCTTAACACGGGAATTTGAGAGTTCTGGGCAATAAGGGAAAACTGGATCTAGTAGAGAGATAAAATCGTCGGACTTAAATTGCTTTGAGAGCGTTCGTACAAGAAATTTGAAACCAAGTCCCTCGGCCCATTGCATATCTCGTTTTCCGGAATTCCATCCTGGTAGAAGTCGCGAGGCTGACCATCTGTTTCCGATAATAATCGTGATTCTGATACCGGAACTTGCATATGAGAATGCGGCGATATCGATGACTGAACGTGGACCCGGTATAATAGGAGAGGGGTTGGAAAGTAATTGGGACAAACACCAGTTGAGAGGAGGGATGGTGCATTTTCGCGCATGTCGTGGCATGAAAGGATGGTCACTGGCAACTGCAAGACCCATGGGAACAACACGGGTGATCGGAGAGGACATGAATGTCTGTTGACAACCAATTCTGGATCGCAGACACATTTTTCTCCTGCTTGTCGGATGGTAGAGAGATGGCCCGGGTGTCCAGATTCCAGAGGATACCCGTGAACGAGAATGACGGTGAGAATGGAACGTGCTTCCACGTGATGTGAAGCTCTTGTGATATAGTGTCGGTGTCTTCGAATTTATAGGTGAAATTTGCATCGTCTGCCTCTCGTTGAGAAAGACTAGATCGATCTCGAACCGAGCAGAGACTGGTATAGTGATCTCAATCGTGTGTGACCAGAATAGCATCACGAGACACATCCGGACGACTTTCAATGTTGCCAAGGAGGTCTTGATGCTCCTCACATTCAACATGGTCAACTACAGGCGATAATCTATGTATGAACGCGTCATCTACGGTTTGAAAGTCCATGATATCGACCTAAGTCATAAAAGTGTGTCCTGGGGAGCAGCCCGAGCGTGTAGAGCAATGGAGGGACGACGCGACATTGTGGTGAGAGTGAATTCCAAGTTCGGACACACATGCCCACAGTGCCGGATTCTGACCATGACTATTTTTAAGTTCTGCGCATCCCCCACTCCGCCCCTCGATCAAATCCTAGACTAGAGCTTTTGGTAAAATTTGAAGTTCGAACTGCTCGTGTGCCTTTGACTTGCTGGCTGATATAAGCTCATTCCAAAGAGGCAGGAATGGCTGCGGACCACCAATCCCCGAAATGCTGTCATGTACCCATAGAAATAGCTGGAGATAATATGAATGTCATCTAGGGCTATGCAAACACGCTCCAGAACATAAGTCATGAGGGAAACAAGGCAGAACACTGTCAGATGAGTTTTCGACCCTCTGGGCTAGACAGGCCTGTCAGGGCTACATTGGGTGATGGGCATGCAACAGGGAGGATAAACTGAAGTCGATCAACGCGCGTTAAGTGTTTCCACGTGGTCGGCAACTGTCGGGGTTTCAAATCTGCACCCACGCATCACGCATACTGAGAACTTCTTAGCTCTAAACCACCATGCCGCCCGCTAGAGGAATGAAACACCACCAAAAACCACCATTGCCTCGTGATCTGGAAGGATCGGAGCTGTTTGTCATTGAAGACGACTATCCTGCACCTTCTTCAGTAAATCGTGGGAAGGGTAAACGACGTATGCCACTCAGGGACATCATCGAAATTTCATCAGACGAGGAAGACACAAGTTCTAAAGCTTTGCGTATGAAAATTTTGGAATTGCAGGCCTTTGTCAAGAAGCTTAAAAAGGTAAAAATAGTGACGTGCATTGAACTCCTCCATTTAATTTATTCTCTAGGAGACGACAAAAGTGAAATGTTCACAGACAGAAGCTGAGAAACGAGCTGAACGTGCTGAAGAAGCACTGAAGATTTCTCAGGCGAGCAGTCACTGGGCAATTTCAATCTAGTGAAATGATTGTGAGGTTCTTTTCTGGACCGCAATGATGCCTTGACTGACCCATAGATAGAATCCCTTAAAACTGGAACCCGATATTACGTGTGGCACTGTGTGCCTCACTGATGTGGTCGCCTTACCTGTAAGCACCACCTAGTTATGCTGAAAAATATGTCCATTCAAACCAGGTTACCAGGTTGCCTGAATGCGGGCATATTTTCTGTGAAAGTTGCCTACTAACATGGTTCGATACCATTGACAAACATTATCGGCAGCAGCACCCCCATTACCATCATGATCAACCTATCCCGCTCCCCCCTTTTCTCCAGGAAGCAATGTCCTATCCCCAGATCGAACCCCACGAACTCCTGCAGTTGATCAAACAGATAACACTCGAATCTAACAGGCCAGTCTTTACCTGTCCCAACTGCCAGCGAAAAGGTGAAGAACCGACCAGTGGAAGTCTTTCCGATGAAGTCTCTCGTCCTGAACAGTTGCTGCTGCTCTGGGTGAGAATAGCCCTGCATCTGATGGCAAAGAACTTTATAAGAATCCCCGAGAAAAAGGGCCATGGGATAGATTCTTTCTTCGTTTGTAATTATGAATGTGTATATTTGGTGATGTCTCAGTGCCTTTTTTTCCAAATTACTTTATGAATCTTGATAGCACTTAACCGTTTATATACAATTCACTATCTTTCGAATATCTAGTGTCAATTGGGTGATTTCAGATGAAGCAGTATCCGGGGTGAAAATCGCGGCTCTCTTTTGTAATTTCCCAATGATAGAGTAATTTTGTGAATAGTTTATCACCGTAACACCACCAAAAAAAAAGGAAAAGCAGTGTCTGTGGTCAAGGGAAAACGACGAGCCAGCAAAGAGGTGAGATATTGATTCTTCGGAGGCTCAACATCGACTCAAAAGAACTGAACAGTCAGTCCTAACAGGGACTCATCATTGAGCATACGCGACTGTGGTATCAGTGGGATTAGAACACTGGAGCAAGATAGGGCGTGCAGTGAATGACAATGCAAAAGGGCAGTTAACTGTCAGACCAGGGCATTGAACTTCGCTGACAACTCTGTGAGGAGTGTGGACGTAACGCCAAAAAATGTAGTATATTACCAATATTTACGAGCTACTCTGTACATAATAGTGAGACTAAACATTGAGAACTGAAGCTTGTACCAGCCATGCACACTTGTTCCCAATAAGGTGGGTTCCCATGCCCGGTCAAGTGCCGCAGTGACCTTGCCGAAAATGCAGACCTACAATTCGGGGGTGGCAGATCATGGCAGTGGCAGCAGAAAACCTCAGTTTTAAGGATCTTCCATCTAAATCTAGTACTCTTACCTTCAGTGACATCTTTATACTGTTATAAACATCTCATTTATGATTTGCGGTGTGTTAAATTTACGCCAAATCATGAAGAAAAAGTGCCAGAGCGATGCCGAGGCTATCTTGCCATGGGCTCGGCAAGATCAATGATGTCATTATTCCCTATTCGAATCGGCCAGCTCCAACGGCTGGAAGGCATGGTGCTCACCAGAAAAGGTAATGATCTACCAGTGGCGCTCCGCTACCCCTAGTCAGTCAATGTGCTTCAAAGTCTCTAAATCATGTCGTACTCTTGGTAACCACCACATGTGCTCTGCAATCCACTAGGTGCATCAATGTTAACAGACGTTCGTTCACGAAATATTTGAAGCCTGATAAATCAATCGCGAATGGCCCAATAATTGATTGATCACACCATGAGAGTGATCGAAGCATTTTCCAGATGGTAGTGAATTCCGTTGAAAAACTTGTGCCCCAGCTGTCTGTGGATCAGAATGCATATATTGCTTGTCCATCATCTTACTAATGGACACAAAAAGGATGGTAGAAAATCACCTCGAGTCCCGCTCAGCACCGAAAGGCTGGTGCCTGGTCATGTGGCCATAGTACTTAGTCAACCACAGCATGATATCAGCATCTCTTATCTTCCCCTCATCTCCACCAGCAAGATGACCTCTGTCATTGGAAGCGACCGTTATGCTTATCGCCCAACCGTTTCCTACCAGTACCCCTGCTGCCCCTTCTCGAGCTGAGGGCCCTGCTGAAACCAACGCAGCGAAGAGTCCCGCCGTTGCTGGGACGAAAAGCATCCGAGAGGATCTTCGGACGCTCACGCTCACTCCGCAACCCCTCGCCAGGTTCCCTCTCGATAAAGATTTGTCCTCTGAGGACAATCATATACCCCCCATACTTCGAAATGCTCCCAGCCACCTTCGCAGTTGGCTCTTGGACGTCAGTAGGCTGGGAACATGATAAAATATATATGACAGCGGTTAACGAGGAGGACAAATCATGGGTTCAAGAGCATTACGAAGAAGTCGTCGAGGCCATGCCTGTTCGGTGCGTTATTATGTGGATCAGCTTTATCTTGAGTATTGACTATGGCTTCTTAGACTCGAATTGTGGGAAAATAATATAATTCTACAAATACCATCTCAAATCCATCAATTCGCCGGTCGGGTCATCCAGAGGGCAATGGATAAATATGAATCTGGCACCCACTCTCTCACACTTATGGAAACTGCTGATGTCCCTCTTTCTGATAAGCATTGGAAACAGTGCGACATCCAAATCTATGACTTAGGGCCTCCACCTGACAATGCCAGCCCGGCAGTCCGAAAGTCTTACTCGTACCCCACTGTTGTCGTCGAAGTCGGATTCTCTGAATCCGCCGCGGCTTTAGATTTCGACGTTGCACGAGCTCTCTGCTTGACGGAAGGGAGGCTGTGGATCGGCATTGCCCTCAATATCGGCAAAGGCCGGATGCCTGTCCTCACCATCAGTGTCTTTTGGTTTGGGCTAGACTTGATGTCAGAAGAGAAGGTTGCAGAAGAAAGGATTGAATCCAGGTCGAGTGTATGGCCGATACGAGGGGCATTGGGTACCGGTCACGTATCAAGACCAAAGACGCTACAATCATTTCTTGGCCATCGGGCCAGAGACAATCGAAAAAAATGGGGAACGCGGCAAACCGGTCTACTATTGTGTGAAAAAGGATTCCTGGGTAGTAAGTTCCATATATTTGCCGGCATGAGTTAATTCCTGAGTTCTCCTAGATTACAGAGGATGGGCATGGCCCTGAGCAAGATATCATTATCCAGGAGGGGTATTATAAGCGTGCTTATAAGGACTATGATGCTCCTGCTCTGACTATCCCTGCTGATGAATTGTGGAAAGCCCTGTTGAAATGTAAAGAAGTAACAGGAGTGCTAAAAAGTGATATGGAGTCCTACAAAAATACTGGTACCACTGGGGAACCCGACGCCGAGGATTCCGAGCCAAGTGAAAGGCGGCGGCAACGGGTAGTTATGGAGGTTGATTTCGACGCTCCTGTTCCGAAGAAGTTGAAACGAAGCCACTGACAGTCATAACGACATGGACATTGAAGGAATTAAAATTTGGTGTGTTAATGAATTACCATTTATGCTTCACCCAAGGTGGAACTAACCCTGCCATGTCTCAGTTTCGTCACTTTAGCCTGTGAGGATCAGTATTTTTTCTAGCGAGCACAGGTATTGCTGATCAGCCGCTGGAGTGATCAATTGGAAGTGCAACCGAAAACGTCGATCTGTTGTGCTTTCGTCAATCTTCAGCCGTTCCTCTTCAGAATATGCATACCGCCCCTTTATATACTATATTTTCATTTTACCAAGTCCTGGATTTTTCGTGGTAGCCAATAGTGGTTTTTCATCCTTGTATTAACGTGATGATGGTTGACTGGGACACCCCCTGTGTGGCTGTGAGATCAATTGTTGTTCAGCTCGACCTATCAAGCTTGATACATTGATGGCAAAAGTACACAGGACAGATGAGAATTTGAGGGATATCTGAATGCCCACAATAGGGTTACATTTTGGGAGGTCGATCTAAGATCTTGGCAGAAAATTTACATAAAATTTGCGTATTCCCGACTTGATCTCTGACGAGCGGCATGGGATTTAGATCCTCTGTCGACCGGTACACCTATACCTCTTGTTTGTCAACTCGGTGTTTGGCCGTGGCTCCGTTATATCCACTTATACGTTGCATACCTTTCTCCTTCCTTAGTTATCTTTTATGTTCCCTTGACGCTGAGGAAGTACGCCTTTTTTATTTCACTACCTACAAACGTACTGCTTTCAGATTACTGTGTAGACTGACTGTGTCCATACTCGTTAGGTTCACTGGTCATCATCCTCCAAAATGGGAAGTTAGCCGAACCCCCAACGAATTCGTAAAATGTTACATTCATGCTCAAAATTCAGGTTCGCCAAAGAATTTTGGTCTTCCTGGTGCACTGATTGTAATGGATGTGAATGGCATCATTCATTTGAGCTTTGTTTACCTATCCTTTCGGACAGCTAGGATTTCTACTACCATGTCATTTTTGGGTTTTTCGTGCTCTGCCTAAGTTACATCGACTCGCCTGATGCTTTCTCGACGCATTGCACGATCTTACATCAGGCACCTCAACTGGCCCTAGTTTCTGCAGTCTCGACACTTTGCTTTCGACATGACTGTGCTTGTTTGACTTCTGAACCAGGTGTTATGTGGGTCACACGACCGTCACCGAAGTCATCAGTCAGGGTCATTGGATGGCTTTGACTTTCGCCCCAGTGACCGGAATCCCGAGGCCATGGTGCCTATGCTGGTCACGCTGACAAACCAGACAAATTAGTCCCAGGCTACCGTATCTGCGTGACCGGTGACTTTGACCTCTGCATACCGGTGCTTCTGCCGCCTCATAGTACATTTCTTCTGCCGATATCCCCTAGCGATAATCGTAGTAGTGAAATAAATATATCTCTTTCTCCAGTCTTTCATGTCAAAAGATGCTAACACCGGGCTAAAATCCGTGATGGATATTCTCAATTCTGCATCATCACCAAAGTCCCCCCCTTCCCTCCGTAAAAAAACTGTGCACTTCTTAGCTACGTCTCACTTCAAGTAGGAAACTTGAGTTGAAATATGTACCACCCCTGTTTGGGAACACAAGAGCATGTATAAATTCGGAAAAACATATTTGTAAAGGCTAACTATGAGGACTCAAAAGGCTATGTCCATCAACCCAAAGTACAGGTCCCAAATGAATCCAGCCTGCCTCTTCCAGAATACTCTCCTCCACGGCTTCAATAAAGTCATCCCTTGTATCAGCCTCTTCAAGATGTCTTGATACGTATCGCTTCGGGTACTGGTATACCTCCAGATATCTTGCAAGTAACTTGGGAAGATGTAGTGGTGACATGGATCTTGGCCTGGAGGGCCCCGCTTGGCCGAGGCTTACTGGAGTCCTTGGTGAGCTGTGTGATGCTACGGAATTCAGGGAGGGTATGAGTAACTTTTAGAACAACACTCACTGGGAGATGAAAATATGTCCCCATTGCCAACGCTATTGACGGTCACATTCGAAGTGAGGTAGTTGCCATGATCTCATTTGAATAAGTAAAGTTGAAGGGAAATCCTTGATAAATTACTTACGAGTTTTCCTTGGTGACGAGTCGGGAATGTGCGCCTTCCCTTTCTGCTTCGAAGGGGTCCCCACTGGAGATGCTGTGGGTGAAGCTATGGTGGGTGTAGGGCGGGGAACTCGAACTGCCAGCATGAAATGGTGAAGTCGTTGTGTTGGCCGGGTATTGATCTACGCATCCATACACAGTTGCACCACGACTCATTTGACAGATTAGCGCATTTTCAATCTTATCGAAGCCGTGGGCCCTGCGATATGTTGGGTTTGACCGATCGACTTGGTCCACAGCATGTTCTCTATGTCAAAAGTATGGTGAGTTTGATTCTGAAAAAGATCAAAAGACACACCAGTGATAGAAGATGCCTGCCCTTGCGCCATATATGATGGCCCAGAAGGTGGCCCCATCGTTGTCGAACATTGCAGTGATCGTGGGCCATTCTTGCCACTCATGCAAAGACGCTCTGAAAGTTACATCGTCCTCTTGGCCATGATACACCAGGAATGGATTCAAATGTGTGTTCAACGCCAATGCCTGATCCTTTCTTTTGCAGTAAACCGCGACTGGCCACTTAGCGCCAGTAGTACCATTCAGAATCCACACCCTTCCGGATCATTCAATACGGTTCCGCTTAAGAAAGTGAATGACTTACAGTTGGTTCTCGTAGACTCCCGGACTGACACCGGATACATTAGGGGGAGAAAGAACAGTGCACCACGGTATTGTGTGGACCATCACAAGTGGAAGGGATTGACAATGCGTCGGACTATGTTTTTTTTACGATGGGGTGATTCTTGGAAAACGAAATATGGCCGGAATTCTGCCCGAAATAAGGGAAGAAAATCCTGAAGTCTTTATTCTATTGGCATCGTTACCATGAAGTCGTGCGTATGTTCTTTGAATTCTTCTGTTTCATAAGTACCACCTGGGTTCTTATGTCACGTTCTACTCGCATCACGCTCATCTCGAAGAAGGGGTTTCCAAGACGGAAAACTATAATGCCGAAGCACCTTAGTAACTTTGGATGGGCCTTTGATCCTGGTTTACTTATGTACTCGGATATTTGCCTTCCCAAACTTAATTTTTTTTTGGCTAAATATTCTCATGGGCCATCCAGCTCGATGGCCAATGGCCAGAAAAGGAAACAGAACCTAGCAAAGTCCGATTGTCTTGAAGACCGATTGTTCTGTTTCGAAATTGTCAATAGTTACCATGTTTGCTTTGAAATATCGCCTTTTCCATTGGACACAGTTTTATTGTGTTTTTGACACAACGTTTATGTAAATACAAGAATGAACCGCGTCACTGGTTCTTAAACAACTCATAAAATCCATCCTAGTGGCGCAGTGTTCTCTGGAGATGTTTTTCCGTGTGAAGAGACATGGCGTTAAAAACCATGCCAGCTTGAAATAATGTTTCAAGCGAACATGGTAACTAATGACAATTTTGAAACAGAACAATCGGTCTTCAAGACAATCGGACTTGGCTAGGTCCCATTGATGTGCTCGGTAATGGGGCGTGCAAATGAAACAAGCATCTAGATCGTCAATCTAGATACTAAATCACACACACACACTATCACCAATGTATATAAGTTCGAGGGTGAGTACAATAGAAGCACTCGCGATGTACTTAGATTTAGATAATCTAGTGGGGTTTTGTCTGAAAACAACTTCAATTCTTCTTTCGATGTGTTTTACACAAGGTACACTAGTCCGCGATAGCGAGGTTTTATGAACTTGTTTTGCAAGGTATAATCGAGCAAGTTATACTCATTTTGACATCGTCTAGAAGAGCTTCTAGCGGACACTTCAAATAATCAAACAACCAAAGACTCCAAGGTCTACAAAGAGTGCAAAATCACTCTACAAAGAACACTCAGGTTCTGACTTCAAGTACAAGACTTGCAAAGAGTACACAGACTCTGGAGTTCCTTGAACTCGATGATTGTTCGAACTTAAAGCATTCTAGGGCTTATTTACTTCAACTAGATGAGGTCTTTTGACTTAAAGTCGACTCAGCACATCTAGATTGCTAATCTCAGAGAGAGAGAGCATGAGGCCTTTGTCCATGGAGCAGTTCAATTAACTAGCAAGGCGCAAACATGGGGACGGCTCTACTTCCTACTTAACTCTTCTAGATTACTGTAGTCGCCCTTATGGGTTGACTTTGGTAACTTAATTCACTTCAGTCGAGGATATGCAATAAAACCAGTGATTGATTAGGTAGCTATACAGGCTACTAGCACAAACGCAGGGGAATGCTTTCCTGCCATTATGCATCTAGTCGCTGCTAATTTATACGATTTGTGTTCTAGGTATAGGAGCCCATATCTACAGTAATTATGGTATGAGCTTTGGAATTAATACAAATGGTGAGTCACTATCCTACAAGTATCGTGCCATTCTGCAGTTTCTATTCAGTTCAACACGACTGCACCGGGTTATTCTGTTGCCGAAGAGTGCCCTACTAGTCCGTGGGCGCTCCTTCTTCTGTCTGCAAGGCTTGCCACACGCCATATGTATGGAATACTGCGGTATGCACAGGATCTCGAGGATGTAACCACTGATCGCAATCGACTGCAGGTCTGAGATTATATTCTGTTGATCACTGCATGATCAAGGTCGGTCATCTCGGTACCCAACATGGCTATTCATTCTTCCAAGGTTATTCCTTTCCTAGCCTGAGTTGATCTCGAAAGCTGATCTGTTTCCCGACTTTAGCAATTTTTCTTGACAGGTTCTTTCTACTCATCGAGGCGACGAGGCATCTAGTTCATTCCATTCTTTAACTTCTTGGTTTTTATACTCCATACAGATGAGTCCCTGAGATTTGACTGTAATAGTCTTGTTTAGGTGGGGCTTAGCTTGGCGTGTTGATGGCTGGTAGAATTGACTCTTCGAGACGTCATTTCTAAGTCTGTTCTGTACTGCCATGCTTTCATTCTTTATGTAGTATTTAGCTACCAGCGCAAAGCCTCCACTGTAGCTCTCTGTACCACTTGTAGATTGCATAAACTGATGTAAAATCGCAAAATCTATGGGTAGCCTGATACCAGGCATATCACCATTTCCTTTCTGGCCATTGGCCATCGAGCTGGATGGCCCATGAGAATATTTAGCCAAAAAAAAATTTAAGTTTGGGAAGGCAAATATCCCAGTAGGTAAGTAAACCAGGATCAAAGGCCCACCCAAATTTATGAAGGTGCTTCGGCCACCTTTCAAGTCAGACAGAAACGGGGGTTCATAAACGTAGTTACGAACAAACTTCTATCAAGAATAGTACTATGTATGTTCAAAACTCTTGTAAGCAGAACCAAGTGCACCACTCATTACAATGATGCCTTTGCGGGAATTGCTCGAGGGAACCATGCATGTTTCCTTCACCAAAGAGTTGCTGTCCCAGAACACTGTAAAATGATTAGCTTGAGTTTTATCATTTTGCAATACATACACAGATTTCGCCATGACTTGGGGGTCCGTTGAAGAGGCTGACTGTGGGCACCTGTGGAATAGTGAGCGGGCTAAAAAGGCGAACCTCAAAAACCCACACACACTCACACAACTACACAAACTACAATCACCCTCGTAAGTTCTAGGGGGAGTGATTATTTCTAATGCGATCCAACTATACTTCAATATCTTGAAGAGTTTCTCTTATTCTCAGCGCTCTTAGCGAAGCTAAGCTTTCTCTAATGACTTCCTAAGTCTAGGAACTTTTTACAGGAAGGTCATTCACTGGCGCGATGCAACTTCAAGGCAGATTTGAGTTATAATACACAGGGACACTGATCCCAACAGAAACAGAGGCAATACATGCCGAAACTTTAGTGAGCTCTCTAAAAGAACACCACAGGCAAGCACTGACTTAGCCCGCTCGCTACACAACTGTATGTAGGGTTCTCCAACTAACTAACTCCAGCAGATTATCTCGACTCAAGAACACTTCAGAAGCGCTCGGAAACAGATTCAGAAATGGAACTTCGAACAGAACTGACATGGAACAGACTGAAACAGAACAGAACAGAACAGATCTCAGGTTTCCACTTCAACACATTCTCCGAACAGACTTATCATCACACTTAACAGAACAGAAACAGCGTCACTGATTTGTATTCACTCTGACTAAGTTCTCAAAAGTCTTATCAAAAGGGTATCTTGTATTTCTCTGAGTGAGCTCGCTAATTCTATGCACAGCTTGAAGTCACAAACTGATCCTTTGTTACAGTACCACCTTCAACGCGTGCATGGGAACTCGGGGGCTCAAAACTTGGCCTCTACCTACTGTAACCAGCCTACTTATACTACAGGGGAATTAGAATTACAAATGTCGTGCAGTACCCAGACTCCTACATGCATAGCACGTTGCCACCACCACCGCCTTACTGAGTATCTGGGTCGGACTTCCCAGTTTTAGTCTCATTTCTATAGTGAGCTCACTAAATGCGTGCCAAGAGGTGCTCTCCTGACACCCGTGGGCTTGTTCTCTAGCAACTGACAGGTCTAGGCACACGGAACTATCAGTTCTGGCATATGTTGTTCAGGACTTCTTTCTTGGATTCACAGAGGCTTCTCGTAGACATGGCAACAAGTGAGTCTTCGAACAATGGGACTCAGAACAATGGAACGCAGGCTCGTGGACTTCAGCTGAAGCCCATTGCCCAAGCTCGTGCCGGCAATATCTGTCATCTTGCTTAAGGATTTCCCTGGATTTTCAGGTACGACACATCACAGTTAGTGAGCGTGCTAAGTACTCTCAGTGTCACTGCAATCGTCAAGGTTTTATCTAGCTCCCGTGAGCATGCTTGTAAGTTAGAGCCTAAGGCATTGGGTATAGGGTTTGGCCTTCTCATCATGCATGCCCATCAGGTACAGTGCTGTGACTAAGTCCTGTTTAGAATCCTGTTGCTTCTTATGCCATAAGTTATATTCCATATCATTGCACCATGTAGCATTAGTGTCAACACGTAGTTTTAGTCCGCTCGCTCACTATATCTCAGTATGCATGTAAACACTTTAGATTGCAAAATTACACGTGTAAATAGGCTGCAGTCGCAACACTGTCAGCCATTTTCCGGCACCTGAAGATGACATTTAATAACCCATTACTGAAAAGGAGATGTTGGAAGTACCTTGATAATCCGAGACAAAACACTTTCCCAATGTCTGAGAGTATTGGAGGTGCTGCAGGAAGCATAAAAATGTGGTGATGGCAAGATGATCTTCGGAAACATCTTCGAACCGGTTCAGGGGCACCATTCGATACATACTTGACAAAGTCATCAGAATCTAGGAGTCATTCCACCAGGACACAAAACCCTGCCAATCCTTTAGCTTGACTGATTCTGGACAGGAAGTCAGTGTGACTGCTGCCTCAACAAAGCGAAGTCCGGAATCGGTCCAGGCGGTGGCCCATAGGATGACACTTTGGCATGGACCAATGCAATGCTCATGTCATGAATGGCATTTGCCCAGACCAAAGTATTTGCTTCCTGTAAGATGGCCCATACATTCGACATCATCAGTCATCCACTGCACC